TAATAGCTCAGGATGATTCTTTGATCTACCTGTTTGTTTGGAATACTGTAACTCTAAATATATGGTCATTTGATTTTACTGAAGCTTCGAATAATTCTTCTCTAACACACAGCATAAAGCTAATAGAAAATTCAGAAAGGATTCAGAAGTAACTGAATCTTGATTGTATAACCTGGTTAATTTTCACTAATTGCAGAAATATGAGACATTAGCATTATTTATTTTTCTTAATCTTATTTTCATTAAATAACTCCAGAAAAAGATCTTTACCTTATCTTATGCTAAATTTGGACAGAACAGGGCCATTCTAGGAATTGTGTTTATATATTCTCAAAATTGAAACATCTTATCCCCAAACACCTAGACTATTATCTCATTTTTTCTCATCTCCCAGCTAATTAAGATATAATTACCCAAGGGATTTTATTTTTGTGATGAAATTCATAACCTCTATAAAATTAGACAAGTTTCAGTGACTTTTGGGAAATAGTGTTTTGAATTATTTTCTATAACATTTATATGAGGGGTCTTCAAATGGTTCACAGAGAATCCTTATGACGAAAGCAACTATGCATGGATTAAATTTATTTTCCACCAAAATAAACTGGTATGTTAATTCCATTTATCCAAACTTCTTTTTTTTTAAGTTATTGCCATAGGGCATATACGCTTACCAGAGCCAGAAAGAGTGAGAGGGAAAGTGAGAAATCACCCGCTAGAGAGAACGGCTGGGCCTAACCCTTCTCCTCCATTCTCTTCCTGGGATTTTGGGCACGCACACATGCCAGCATGATTTTCAAGGCATCGGACTCAAAACTAGAACCACTATTGGCCATATGGCAGTCCAGAACCTTAATCACCATGTTACCTGCTGGCCCCTATTCAAACTTTTTTTTTTTTTGGAGAGATTTTTCGCTATAGGGCGCATGTGCTCGCCAGACAGACAGAGAGAGACAGAGAGACAGAAAGCGAGAAATCACCCCCCAGCGGGGATGGTCACACCGCAATCCCTTCTCCTCCATTCTCCTCTCGGGATCTTGGGCACACATGCACACACACGTGCCTGACGTGAGCTTTAAGCCACCGGGTCCGGGACGCAAACCGCGGTCGACTACGTGGGAGTCCAGCAACATAGCCATTACGCTATCTACTGGTTCCCGCCCCTATTCAAACTTTTTGAAATACCCTCATAGAATAGTGAAAAGTCTTCTTCTTGCTTATGTGCTAGATCTGCATGGGCATTTCTCTCATTATTCTGTCAAGACAGGAAGTAAGTATTACAACACAGAATACTAGAAGAATAATTCGACCTTCACCATATACCCTTCAAATCATGAGTGGACAGTTGGAATCTATGTTTCTAATTATCTACAGAAGTCTCGTCCTGTAAGCAGAAGGAAAAACTTGTTTTTATTTTTATGTGAAATTTGTTTTTTAAAGTAAATTAGGCAACTCTTTTGCCACCAGTAAGTGTTTAAATATAACTGGGGGGGAATTGATTTTCTTTGATAAAACCCTTATGTTAGTCATATGTGTTGGAAAATATTACTTCATGTTTAGGGAAATGACATATCTTGATTTCATGACTAGTTCAGGAATGATCAGTAAATCTGAAGGTGGATATGTCAGATGTATACTTCACTCTGTAGGATGGTAGAAAGCAGAATTTCATCTCAGGAAATGTAATGCTATAAATGTGTTGCCTAAGTAGATCAGTTATCTTTTGCTTCCCTCTCCCTGCTCCTTACTTTATAAGAGAAAGATTAAAAATCAAAAACAAACCAAAAAAACTTATGTCTTTAGAAGTTCTGAGAATTGTCCATATCACATAGAAAATCTGTGATCTGTGAAAGGATATTTCTTGTGCTGTCGTTCAAATGACTTACATCCATTTTAGGTGTTAGTAATATAACTTCTCTCTAGAGATGGAAAATAATTCCCTCTAATTCTTCTCCACACCACCTTCCACCCCTCAGCATCACCAGTGACTGCCTCCTCTTGAACTCAATAGAACACTGCTCTGTGTATTTCTAGGGCTTACCTGAGTCCTCTTTGTGTCACGGCTCTTTACAAATTGAAAGGCCCAATCCTTCTTACTTATATGTAAATTCATTAAAGCTAAGACAAAGCTTTCATTGAAAAGATTTGGTTGTTGACTTCTGTGACTGATCAAGGGTCCACTGTAATTGGGAAAAGATGGCGTTTCACTAGTCAAGTCTCTCTTGTACGGGGAAATATTCCGACAGGAAGAGTAATTTACTGACTCAGCAAGAGGCTGAGAGTGATGGAACATATCTCTGGACCTCCTAATTCTGTAACTACTTCTTTAGATTTTTTTTTAATCTCTGCAGATGTGCTTGAGGACTTTTGTTTTTTGTTTTTCTTACAACGGTGCGGTGCATGGCTTTCCTAGGCCAGGAACCATGCAGCATCAGCAGCATTAGGTGACGCTTCTGAACTCCTAGTGTCCATAACTGGGATCCCCCCACCCCGCAGTCGGCTGAGTTCAGGATAGTGCTGTTCATAGGACCATGAATACATGTGCACACTCAGCCTGTGTAGAGTGCAGTGTCCTGGTGCAATGTCGTTCCTCTTCATCGGGTCCTATCCATTGAGCACTCCCGTGACCATGACAGTTTGGCCTGTTGCCTGAGGACTTTCACATGAGATAAGGTTAGAGAGAGCCACCTATGTACAGTCCTGATCTAATGTGGAGTCCAGGGTTTTCAGGGGATCAGTCAGTAATGAATTTGTCTCATCAGAATGAAAGTGAAACATTTATGCAGGAAGAATTTGCTGCCTTCTAAGATGAAAGTGGTGGCATTTTTTTGCAGGTTCAGTAGTGAAGTGGGATCCAAAAAAATTATTATTGATTTATTTTTGCATTCAATCCCCATGTGTCATTACAGCAGACCAAATGGATTTTCCCATCATGAATACACTGCATGTCGGTCTAGTCGAAGACATTACCATATACACTATAATCAACAAATTTCTTTTTTTTTTCAGTCCCTTAAATGTTTTGTTTCTTTCTTCTTCTCCTTGGCCCCCTCCCTCTCACCCTCTCCCATTTCCTACCCACCTCCTGCACTATCTCCAGCATCACCATTGCTCCCAATGCTTTTATACCTTCCAGTCATTCAGTGTCTGCCATAGAGCGCTGGATTCGGTATGTATTGAGTGGAGACATGCACTGCCTCTCTTTCACAGTCTTGCTTGCTTCACTTAGCAATAAATCTTCATATTTGTACACTTTCTATCAAATGCCAGGGTCTCATTTTCTTTTTTCTTATGGCTGAGCAGTATTCTGTATTATATATGTTCCACACTTTTTTAAATCTGTGAAGTGGGGTATTTAAGGACTTGACCTCACTGAGATCATTTAGACCCCACATGTATTTTTGACTCTATGATACCAAGTAGGACCTACATGGGATTTAGGTGTTTATGTGGGCACATCCTGGAGTCCTAGCCATGAGGCAGAGGGAGCTACGATCTTGTGGAGAGCCTACATAAATGGATTTCAGCAGTTTCATTCAGCATTTATTCATCTCTTACTTTATACTGGGCACTCTAGGCATTAGGTGGACAGAGTAAGTAAAAATGGTTCTTCCAACTCTAGGAGCTCACAGGCTTGAAGGGGAAGGCAACCATGGTCTCTATAGGACCTAAAAGGATAAAGTAGTCCATCTCCCTGGGTGTTGGATCAGAATGGGAAGAGGGGAGCCTCTTGAAAGGATTCAAAGAAGAGACTGAGATTTTAATTAAATCTTTAAAAGATAAATAGTTGGGATAAGAGATCAGGATCATGGACCAGCCTATTGTGGAGGGGAAAAACCTGAACAGGTTTTAAGACTGTCAGACATCTTTGCATACACCAAGACCTACAAACAGCGATACCATGGCTTGAGTGTAGGATGGGAGGCAGGACCGTCAGAGAAATGGTGCTTGAAAAGAGATGGACTTCATCACAGATACTGGGCCTTGCTGTCAAGCTTGAACTTTATCCTATCACTTCTGAGGAACCCCTGCAAGTTAAGCTGGTGAGCAACAAAATGAAATTTTCACCCCAATAGCTCTGTGAAGGTTAAATCTGAGGAGACTGATGACCTGAAATCAGTCAGGACACCATTACGGTGTCCAGCTGAGAGATACTGCTGCTAAAGACCAAAGGAGTAGTAGGGGATAAAGGAGCAGTAGTGGGTAGGAGAGTAGAAATCAGAGCACCATGACCCAAGCCAAGAGGAAGACTGGGATTAGGGGAGACAGTGAAGATGTATAAGATTGTAAACATCATGACGTGCAGTTCCCACGTGTCAACTGATTCTAATCAGGAATTTAATAGAGTTTTCACCATCTAAATCAAAGGGGATAAAATACACATACTTATCAGTCTTGCTTGTGAAGTGTTTGGATAGGTGATCAGCTGCAAGGTTTATAGCCATATGGTAAGAACTCCATTTTAAATACATAATGCATCCAAACGGTGCATCAGTGGTCACGGATTTTCAGTGTAAAACGTGAGCATTAGTAAGATATGATGCATTGTGATCTTCCTTTTATGTAGAGCACTGTGGGACAGTAGCTTCACATTGGGCTGGTAATTTGTTCCTAGTATTAATTCCAGCACTGTATACCTTGGACAACTGGCTAAACTTTTGTGAACCTGATTTTTCTGATCTGTAAATATTAGCCTAGTCATATTTCCTCCTGGGTTTGTTGTGAGCATTGAATTAAATAGGAGCATGTGAGATTGGCAGGCCAGAGGCTTACAAAGCACCTCCTACATGTTCCAAAAGTCTTTCTCTTTCTCTCTTCCAAGGGTATTTAAACTTTGAACTTTATTTTTCTTTTCTGTGCTGAGCCCTTCCTTGCTAGAGACATGGAGACCAGTAGAAAAGTGTGCTTGTGTTGTTGTCCAAATATTCAAGGAGACTTCACATGGAATGCTTGATTTCCTGGAAAAGTGTTTATTATTTCTCTCTTTGCTTTTGATATAGGATGTCAGCTGCAATGAGATCACAGCCTTGCCCCAGCAGATAGGTCAACTGAAATCTCTACGAGAACTGAATGTCAGAAGAAATTACCTTAAAGTGTTACCACAAGGTAAAAAAAAAAAAAAAAAAAAGAAGGAAAAAATGAAGAAAACTGGGGACTTCTACTATTATTATTATTTTGGTTTAGTTTTATGAAAAGAATGAATCTTGTTACATGTACGTGCCTGTTAGTATTAATTGTAATTTGAATTTTCTGTGCAGGTAACAGAAAAGTGTTGTTCAAATTGTAATTTTAGACAGGAGCTACAGCAACAAACTCATTCCCTCCTTAATGATGTGGGACAAGGGTGGGCAGGCATACTAGTTTGCTAAGGCTGTTACAAAAATAACAGAAATTTATTTTCTTAAAATATGAGAGACTGGAAGACTGAGATCAAGTTGTCAGCAGGGTTGGTTCCAAGGCCTCCTTGGCTTATTGATGGTCATCTTTCCTTCCTGTACCCTCACATGTCTTCTCTCTGCATGTCTGTGTCCTAATCTCCTTTTCTTACAAGGACGCAATGGATTAGGACCTGACCCTAATGACTTCATTTTAACTTAATTACCCCCTTTTAAGACCCCATCCCCAGGCCCACCTGCAGTGACACAGAGGCATTGCAGTGCTCTGCAATGCTGGAGCCCATATGGAAGATGGGAATTTAGTTCCTAGGTCGACCTGTACATGCTAGGTGCACACATGAGTGCCTGTATTCCTGGCAGTTCAGGAAGACTAGGAAAGGACTGTGGCATGATGCCCTGTTGAAGGTGCTTGTTTTTCTCTCATTAAACTAACACACACACACACACACACACACACACACACACACACACACACACATATAAATATATATATTTTTATTTTTCTTTCTTTCAAAGACCTGCATCTCCAAAAATAGTCACATTCTGAGGTACTGAGGGTTAGGACTTCAACATACAAACTTTGGGAGGATAAAAGCCAGCTCAGAACAGGGAGCAATGAATAATTTGGGGAATGGATGTGTGATGTTTTGGACTATGAAACTAACTAACCAACATGCTTGGCCCCATAGATCCCAGCTGTCAAAATTTCTAGCCTCAGTTATTTGGGAACCCTGGTTGAGAACATCCAGCATCTTGAATTTATTCTTCAGCCAGCCCTACTGTGGTGATGTTTGGACCAATGTCACTGGTAGTTTGATGAGCATCACTAATGAAAGCCTCAGAGCCTCAGCATGAAGGTGCAGCTATCCCCACCATCCAGTGCAAGTCCAAGTCCCATAGATAGCCCTGCTTGAGCAGTTGGGGGCTTCTACAGTACATCCTTCTGATACTGTTTGTTGTGGTTCAAGAAAAAAGATACACTTATTCAGAAGGTCTGTACCATTAACAGCCCCAAAGCAGCCTTATAGACGACATTGGATCTGAATTTCATAGTTGTGTCTGGGTCTGGATCAGGAATGAGTTGATGAGCAGAACACTAATTGCTTTCTCCAAAACACACTCTGGTTTTCAAAGATCATATTGATTTCCATTCTTTTGTTAAAGGACTGTAGACATACCTGATTTCAAATATGTATTTAAAAATATAAAAGCAAAAGTATATATTTGGAAACAGTGAACATTTTATTAATCTGACATTAATGCAGCAATATGAGAGCTACCTAATTTTTACTATCCTGTTCCTGTATCTTGACATTGATTTGAAATGCTTCATTATTTAAGGCAAGAAATGAGCTGTTGAAAGGGAAAGAATTTTGTAAACGGTAATGCACTTTATAGATGGAAGGGTAAGGTGTTTGCCTGCTATCTCTCACCTTTCTCATGCTACCTAAACATTTCCAAGAAAACATAAGATTAGAAACTATGTCAACATAAGATATATTACTTTATTACTTCACATGGCTTGGTATAAAAATGTTGTTTTTCACTTTATGCAATCCCAAAATGCAGTATGAAAAATTCATGGTAGTGCACAAATGTGTGTGAGGAGAGAGATGAGCAACCTCCACAGAGCATAGTGGCACCATGATTCCCTCCTTCCAGTCCTCCTGCCCATTGGATCTTGGGCACTCACAGGGGTGCCTGGCACATTTCAGGCTGACCGTACTGGGGATTCCAGCCACGGTTGCCCTGTGGAATCTGGCTTTTCTGGAGCAACGTGTTGCCCATGCACCACAGATTCCCAAAAACTTGCATTTAAGTTTAAGCTTATATATTAATTATTAAGAAACATCACAACTAATTGAACTCCCACTCTCAAATGGGAAAATTAGTTTACTCATTATACAGTCACCTACATTTACAAACGTCTGGGGGGGAAAATGCACCTGCACAATCTAGGTTTTAGTTTCTCTCTCTGCTCCTTTTTCACTTACCTTCAAAGCATTCCTTCCCCTAAAAAGATCAGTTACAAACTGCTATAATTTTTGTAATTTTGTTTTCTTAGTATTTTAAAATACATTCGAAGTTAAAACTTCAGATTACTGGAAAATCTTTTTATTTTTAAAATAATTTCCTGAATATCACGTTTCTTTTTGCTGCAGTCTGGAGCACTGTATGGACAAAGGAGCATTGATAATGCTTTCAGGCTCTGAATTTAAAGACTCCATATTCACTTACATGTTTTTCCTCTTAGGGCACCCCTCTTCATATGCTTTCAATTTGAAGAGGAAAAAAAAATGTTTGTGGCCTAATTACCCATATCAATTTGTGGTGGTTTATGATGACTACTGCAATGAGGAGACCTTTTTTTTTCTTTCTCTTTTTCCCTAGGACCAAAATGAACAGAGGATTAAAACAGGCATCCATTACTAACCCTCTTTGTAGTGGGATTATTCTTTCTCCTTTTCCCTTTTCTTCCTTTTTTTCCTGCTTTTTCTTACTCTCTTTTTCTGCTCCATTTCTTTGACCTGTCTTTTCTGGAATGATGTTGCAGAGTTATTATTTTCTTCCCCATTTAATTGTTGTGAAACTTTCCACTTCTTGTTTACCTAAACTACTATCGTAATTGTGTTTCAAACCAGAACTGAAAGGAAAGCAAATAGTCATTATAGAAAGATTCCTTATTTTATTTACCTATAAGTCAGTTCCTGCTATATCTTCCATGAACTTAACTGTCTAGTCTTGCTTCAAAGTCATCATTTTAAGTGGGAAAGAATTGCTGAAGATCTAGAGTCCAGTAAAATTTTGCTACTGATTTGCCAAGCTAACTTTAGGGAATAAAGTTAAGCATCTTGGAAGACAGGTTAATATTGCTAGAAATATAGCAAGGAGGTGCCCTAATTCTTAACCATTTTAGAAATGAACCATGAGGAGAGAAGGGAACTTACTTTCCCTTTCCTTTCTTTGTCATGATTCCATACTGTCCTGTAGGCTAACTCTTCCATCTCTCTTCTACCTATAGTAGCTCAAAGTCCTTTCATCAACTATGGTAAGTGTGGCCTGAGGCAAATCACTCATCCTGCAAGTAGGGAAAAGAGCTGGGTTTGAGTGATGAACTGCTCAGAGCTAGCTATTTACTTATTTATTCATTCATTCATCATTCATTCATAGATTTATTTATTTCTCCCATGAGAGAGAGACAGAGAAACAGATATCCCCAACAGGATTCTTATGCCACAATGCATTTCTATTCTTAGCTAGCCCAGATCTTGGGCACATGGGAACATGCACCCTGCATGCTCATAGAGGTTCTGAAATGCAAATCCAGGACTTTTCCCTTGTGGGATCAGCTGTACTATCACTGCACCATGGCTTGGCCCCATACTCAGGGTAATTTTAAAATATATTTCTTGAGTGTTGCGGCCCACCTATCCTGGACGTGGGCTTGAGGCCTTCAGAGTCAGATGTTCTTCTGCCTCCTTTCTAGAGTTTTAGTCCTCTTATTCATTTCTTTAAGACAAAGTATTTCACTAAGTCTGAAAGAAGGAAAGTCCCATACAGTCTCAGAGTGTGTTAAATTCTGAGAAGAGGAAAGTTATAGGAGAATCTTTGTTGGTGGAATTTCAAGTTGTGTAACCGAGTAGAGTGAAAACCCCCAGGCAGCTTAGAAGGAAAGGAGAAATAGGGTTAATCCTTATTCCATTCAGATCACTGCCTTTGGTTCTTCTGCTTTATGTAGTTCTTGCCCTTCTCCATCTGGGAGCTCCCTGAGTATTTTAAAGCACTAGATTTTACCCGCTTACATGCCCCATACCAAAAGTGCTGAGACCCCATTCGGAAATGAAGCCTGCATAAAAAGATCTTGTTGGTTTGCAAGCCTCATGTTAGATGTCTGGCCTGGTTCAGCCCCTCTTTGCTCTACAGAATATATTTGACTTTGTTTCTAACAGCTGCCAACGTCGGTTTGAATGCTTGAAATTACTGAGTGTTTACTGTGCCACTGGGTGGGGATTTTAAGCTAAATATAATGTCCTGTCTTGTTAGCAGCTATAGAAAACTTTTTCAAAGCAGTAGAATGAAACCTCACCAAATCAGAATTACAGGGCTTGCAGGGAAGTTGTGAATTAAATAACAATTTTAATGTAGTTGAAAAAAATAATAGATTTGTATATTACAGCTAGTTATGGAATTATGTCAGCCCAGATTGAGTAGATAATGTTCTGTAGTTAGAATGTTATTCATGTGCTAGCAAGTGCTACTTGACAACAGAAGTTAAAACATAAACACGGCCTATGTGGCTTGGCTTGCAGGATCCTTGTGCTAGGGGGAGGAGGTAGGCTTTATAAACGATAGCTATTGTAAATGTCATGTTTCCAAGTTTTATCAGAACTAACAGTACTTTAAAATTATTGGCGCTTGATAAAAGTTTCTACCCCTTTCATAAAATATTACGTACACGTATCCTGTATTCCTAAAGCAGAAAACATACTTTTCATTATGCTAAAATGACTTTTTTTTTCTGATAAGCAGAAAATTAACTTTTGAACTTTTAGGCATTTAATCTGGTTGCTTTCTGAAATTTTTTTCTTTCTTTTTTCTATACTTTTAGAATTGGTAGATCTTCCCTTGGTAAAGTTTGACTTTTCCTGCAACAAAGTGCTTGTGATTCCAATTTGCTTTAGAGAGATGAAGCAGCTGCAAGTATTACTGCTCGAGAACAACCCTCTGCAGTCTCCTCCAGCACAGGTGAGGGCCTCGCAGCAAAGCCATTGCCCTTAAGATTTGCTATCAATAGCGCTCACGCACCTCTCCACAAAGCCGATGTTCTGATTCTCTGCTTAATTAGCACCGTATTAGACATGATCGTAAGCAGTTGCAGTCCCTAAAAAGATTTCATCTTGGGCGAATCTGATAATAGTACATGGTCTTCTGCTGCATCAACCCCCTTCACAGCATTTGGTTCACTATTCTGATTACTCCAATCCCAGAACTGCATGTTTGGTTAAGTATCGTGTGAAACTGAAACTGTTCCATTTGAAACTGTTTTGTGGACTACATGGTTTACAAAAGGAGAAATAGGTTCCTTGCTTGAATGTTAGCTGGCAAATGAAGTTTAAGCATCTTAAATATGATTATTGATTGTTTAGAGACAGGGGTCAGGTTAAAATATTAAACTGAATGAGAACAAAGGAAGTACATAGGATTTTAGGTGATTAACTGTGTATGATTTGAGGTTTATTTTCTTTTTAAAGTTTACATTTATTTATTTTCTTATTTTTATTTAAGTAACTTAGTAACTCCTTAAAACTACGATTATTTTCATGCCCTTAATTGCTTTCTTATGGGTTCGAAAATAATTACGCTTTTGTCCTCTTTTGTAATGGGAATGCTACCGTGCTAATTATCTGACTTTTATAATTTTTTTTTTGAGAGGTTTTCGCTATAGGGCGCGTGCGCTCGCCAGACAGACAGAGACATAGAGACGGAAAGGGAGAAATCACCCCCCAGGGGGGATGGTCACGCCGCAATCCCTTCTCCTCCATTCTCCTCTTAGGATCTTGGGCACGCACGCACACACGCCCGGCGTGAGTTTTAAGCCACCGGGTCCGGGACGCGAACCGCGGTCGACTACGTGGGAGTCCAGCGACATAGCCATTACGCTAACTGCTGGTTCCCTATACTTTTTATACTGCTTGTATTTAAATTCACTTCTATTTGAATTTCATAGTTTAATTCAGGAAAAATTAGAAATCGCATAAACTTAGTTTTCTGTTCAAAGTATTGGATCACTGGAAAAGTCATGACATATTTTTCTGGTTTTCTTTGTAAAAACGTGTCATGACTTTTCCTATGACTCAATAGACTTTAGAGAAAATGATCCCCAAATTCTTGTTTTGGAGAAATCAAATTTAGTGTATGGTGTTGGAGTATTACTTAACATAAAATTGGTAAATTTAAAGTATATGGAGTCAGGCGTTTGTATTTGCATTTTATTTTGTCATTGAAACATATATATTATTAATTTCTCCATAGATTTGCACAAAGGGCAAAGTGCACATATTCAAGTATCTGAGCATCCAAGCGTGCCAGATAAAGACAGCTGACTCACTTTACCTGCACAGCATGGAGAGGCCACATTTACACCAGCACGTGGAAGACAGGTGAGTGGATGCCTTCACTCAAGCCCCTGCTTAGATTTGCTTGGGCCAAGGCTCTCCTGTTGACTTAAAAAATCCATTTCCTTCGCTCAACCAATTCAAATGTATAACTCAGAGTTTGAGATATGACTGGAATTAGAGAAGATTGATGCTGTGAAGAACATTTTGGGCATCTCTCAAATTTCATCTACCCTCTCTTAACTAATAATCATTCCTAGCTCAGTACATATGTGTATACTTATAAATAATATGTGTAAAATAAATTTATATTTTTTTTACTAATTAGTGAGAACCACTATGTCAAGCTCAAACATACTTTTTAAATAATTTTTCATTTTTAATATGCCACCAGAACATTGTTAGGATAAACTGTAGGATTTAATTTTTAATTGTCTTTCAAAAATGCAGCATCTATGTTTTTTTTTTTTTTTGCCACTTCCTGTTTCTAATATGAGTGTTAAAATCCTTTCACACGTCCTTGGTCTTTTTGTGGCATATAACAGGCCTTGAACTTACAGAGAACAAAGTTCTCACATTGAACACACTTACAAAAACGCAGATCCTTTTTGGGAAGCCTTCACCCCAGGAAATTGTTTTGTTTACTTTTTGTTAAAGAAGACAACTTAACATCTCAGACCATCTTATGGCACTTTTATGTAATGCTTAAATTACATGCATATAATTTTATCTTTGTAATAAAGATACTTTCCAATTTATTACTGGAAAAAGTTTACAGAATAATCAAAAGTAACCACATTTTGTAACCTAAAAAGTAAAAGCGTGCATATAACTTTATCTTTGTAATAAAGATACTTTCCAACTTATTTATTACTGGAAAAAGTTTACAGAATAATCAAAAGTAACCACATTTTGTAACCTAAAAAGTAAAAGCGATTACATAGTTTATTGCTGTCTTAATGCCAGAATTAAAAAACAAAAACAAAAACAAAAACAAAACAAGAAAATGAGTAACTTTCAAAGAAACAGCTGGAGATCTAAGAACAGGCCACTTGATTAGGCCACTTGATTAGAGCACATATCCATGAAACCTTGATCACATAGAATGTATCTTGTGTAATATTGGGACAGGACTCAGTAGGCCCATGTCTTATTCTTTAACGTTGGACTGTTTTGTTGCCTTATGACAATAATAAAAAATCGTATTGCAAAGTTATTACTAACATAGAGTGAATATGTTTGGATGTGAACTTTGTGGTTTTATTTCTCCGTGAATTCCATATTGATGACATCTATTCCAGCAAGAAGGATTCTGATTCGGGAGTTGGAAGTGACAATGGAGATAAGCGGTTATCTGCCACTGAGGTAAAGTTAGTGACCAGATTTTTTTCCTTCTGTGCTTCTCCATATATCTGCCAGTGTCCACTGAACTTCTTTCTAGTAAAGTTCATTGGTTTATCTGCAAAGAATGTATGGTAATGTTTGTGCAAGCAGTTTGAAACCCTCAGGTGTTCTGTAAATATTAGCTGATGCCACTTACTCTTCATCTTTAATATTTTATAAATGCCTCAAAAGTGGAATCCCTATCTTTTCCTCCTCCATTTCCACATGTTATCTAGAATATTCTTACATGCTCAATAAATATTATGAAACGGCTAAGTTGTGTGCAAGCAGCCATAAAGCACTTTTACAAATATGCTTGTTTTTAAGTGACAGTGTAACTTAGAAAAAATTGTTATATTCATGCATAGATGTTAAGGAATTAAGTATGCATTGCAATTGAGCAGTTTACCCATAGGAAGTGTATTGAAGAGTAGCTACAGTTTTTATAACAGTGTCCTCACGAAACTCTTAGACTATATTCTCTTCAGATAACAACAAAAATTTGGTTATTTTAAACTAAGAGGCTTCACATACTTCTTATATGGTTATACATCACTCTGTTAGCATATTTATTATCTGACATATAGTCTTACCAGATTCCTAAAAATGTTATACTAATATGCCATTAAATGGGAGCTTTTTTTTTTCCCCCACGAGAGAAAAAAGGAAAATTTATTGAGGAAAAGAGTACCTGGAAATATGAAGCCAGAGGTATTTTAGCCCACCCTACTGAGGAGACTTGTATTTATATTGGAGGTGTGAGGGGTAGGGTCACAAGAATGGCAGATATTTTGATTAACTTACTTGCCACTGTGACCTTATCAGCCCATCTATGGGTGTTGGCTGCCAATAAGGAAGGCCTCTGACTGGAAGATTCTGGCCAAAGGTCCCTGCAACCTTCTCTTTATTTTCTGATGGAAAATTACCTAAAGGCCATTTAGAGGCTGATCTAATATGTCCAGCCTTTATCTTTTATTAAAAAAAAAAAAAAAAAGATGGGGCAAGGGTGGGACAAGGGATTATGGGCTATGGTCAGTCTTCTGGAGCTGTTTTAAGCTGAGAAGGGGCATTGTCCTTGAGTCCTCTGGGGTTAGGCATGCATATTGTACCCTCTGGAGCAGCAAGGTGTTTTTAGCCTGTTTGGGGGCCAATTGTTGGATGGTGTCTTAGATAAAGCAGTTTAGCATTTTTAGGAGAGGAAGTCCTGTAGAAACTAAGAGAAGAATTACAAGCAGCATTGTTTTTAAGAAAGAAGAGAGCTCCCTTTTTCTGCTGTGAGAAGGTCTAGGCCTCTTTGGTTTTGGAGAGTTACTGTGGCCTGGAGTCTACTTGGTCTTGAATCTGTAAGAGACTTCAGGATATTTCGTCTAGGCTTCGTTAAAGGTTGGAGGAAAGAGTCTTAAAAGTAGTGAAGAGGGCCAGCAGGTGGCATAGTGGTTAAGGTACTTGATTCCCACATGGCTGACCATGGTTTGAGTCCTGAATCCAACAGCCTGAAAATCACAATAAATAGATAGAAAGATAGATAGATAGATAGATAGATAGATACTTGAAAGTAAATAAATAACAAAACAAAATGGCAGATGCAGCCACAATAGCATGTGCTGCTCAGGTCACATAGCAGATCTGGCTTGATTCCTGGCCCACCCTAAAAAGCTGAGCTCACTGGCATGCACCTTTAGTCTCAACTATGGAGAGGCTGAGGCAGAAGGATCACAACACAGGAAGACTGTCTAGGGGAAATAAACAGCAAATCCAAATGGCATTAATTATTATGTGTCCCAAGTTGGAGTTCTATTTTAGTAATATTTTAACAAAGGGTGAAGCCATAATAAAAGTCATCGTTATTTTTACTTCACAGTGCTTTCATGAATGCAAAGAAGTTAGAGAGAGAGAGTATTTAATTAATGATGTTATTTTCAATATGTTTAATATGGATCATTTTTTTTTACCTACTTTAAGGAGAAGTGGTGTTTATTGATTAAAAGTGGGAAATTACAGTTAAGACACCAGTCCTATTTCAAGACTTTTATTATGTAGTGTACAGTGAGTTTCATTTTTCATAAAATGCCCTAGTTTTCCCGCCTATAAAAGATACTGATAAATTTAAAAAAAAAATAATGAAGAGGGGTAGACCAGAAGTGCATATCCCTGTCTAGTTATTAGGTAAGTAGAGGAGCCACAGTAAAAGGACAGGCCAGTATTAAGGCAAGTTGAAATGTGAAGAGAGAAAGGTGTCAGCACTTTATTTATGCCCTGTGGTTCTCTTCCTTAAACTCCTAGGGTGTTTGTCAAAGTAGCCCCAGTGAGAGACTGGATAGGTGGTGGGTTTTGTGATAAATGGGAGCTTCTTGACCCAGGAAGGTTAGGTGTGTTCAGGGATATATTATCAGATTCTCTTCCGAGAGTTACTGAGTTTTTGTAGTTACTGAGATCGGAAACATTGTTTTACTTGTGGAAGTTGTAATTAATAGGTCAATCATCCCATCTAAGGAATTTATGTTATAACTATATGTGACTCCAAAAAAGAAACCTTTTCTCAGCTCTCTCAGTCCATTGAGGTTTAATTGGTAGTTAAGGCTTTTTATTTTCCACAGAATGCTCTGTAAAACAATGTATTTTTAAAAAATTAGGATTCCTTAAAATCTTTTGCATTTAGAACATTTTGAGAGAGAGAATAGTTAGTTGTCAGTAAAGATAATAAGCCACAGAAAGCCACATTCATATTTTACTGTGGTTCCCCGGAAAGAAACATAACTAAACACATTGCTTTATAAGTCGTATTTCAATTCCTCTCCTTCAACTTTATTAAAACTCATAAGTTCTCTCAAATGGACCGTTGTTTCAGAAATTACTTACCCTAAGCTCAATTTCCATGAAATAAATACACACTCTGCTTTATCCTTGTATTTCTCTTCAAGACTAATAAAGTTCATTAATAAAACATTACACAGAGAACTTCATTATCCTTTCGTTCTCAGTATAAGTAGGATGCTAATATGCTAAAGGAGCCCAAGGATTTATTCTCTTCCTTTTAATTAGATGCATGTTTCTGGAATTTCGCTAAGTTTTGAAGGGAGGTGGGTGGAAGGAAAAGGGGCTATAGAAAGATTATAGTCAATGGAATAAAAAGCTCAAATTTTCCTTTTGGCCTTTTCTTGTCTTACATCATGCCTCATTATCTGAGAAAACCTCTAACAATCAGCTTTTTAGAATGATAAGAGTTCTAAATTATCCTATGTAGCTTTCTCTTTTCACATTATTGGATACATAGGTCCTCACCCATGGTCAGCCGATTCTGCCTCCTTGTGAGGTTCAAAGCACACACCTCGTTCCCTGTCTGTGCCGGTTCCACATCTGATTGATTTAGCATTTGTCACTAAGAAATTTAAAAATTTTTTTCCCCAAGATACACAAGCAAGAACGTATGGTGCTTTCTCTATGTTTGTTTAACCAGTGAAATAAACACTAGTTTTCTGCCCCTTTCTAAGCTATTTGTGCATGTGTCCCAAAGCAAACAGAGACAAATTCTGAGAGTCGAATAACCTTAAGAATTTAGGAATAAGCCACAGTTGTCTGAAATGTGTTCTGGGGAAGTTCCTGATCCCTGTGATTTGGGACACTTTGTATTAAATAGTAACACTAACACTCAAACATAGGGAGACAAATGAAGCTTCATATTTCATTAGTGACAGAATCATAGATTTTTCTGAATAAACTTCATCCGTTAGTGTGGGAAAGGAGATCCATAGAGAGAACTCCAGTTACTAAATCAAAGTTTCATTCTGCAAATTGCACAAAGCATTTGTTCTTTTTAACTACTCAAGTTGTTTAGCTGTTTTCTATGCTTACTGCAGCTTTCTCAACCTGTAGCAGGGAGATAAACTGAAATGTAATGTCGCATCTAAGATGCACACTGAATAAATGAGACATTGTCACGGAGGCTGGCTACCTGCTCTTCATGGCTAGCCACATGGCACCTTAATGTCATTTTGGTATTCTAACTTTGTTGTCAGATCTTAAAGTGCCCATAATGTATTGTTTTTGAGGGTTTTTTCCCCCCCTACAGGGCACATGTGCTTACCAGAGACTGTATTGTTTTTGAGTTTTTTTTTCCCCCCTACAGGGCACATGTGCTTACCAGAGAGACAAAGAGATAAAGTGAGAAATCATTCCCCCGGGGAGGACAGCAGCACCACAACCCCTTCTCTTCCATTTTTCTCTCGAGGTTTTGGGCACACACATGCACGCACACCCAGCATGAGTTTCAAGCCACCAGGTCCAGGACTTGAACTGCGGTCAGCCATGGGGGAGTCCAACACCTTAACCACTATGTGACCTGCTGGCCTCAAGAGTGCCCATGCTATTAAAATGATTCATTACATTCAGAGATAATATAATAGTGTATTTACTTTTATTCCTCTGTCATGTTACTTATGACACAGTCCTCCTTAGTGCCCTTACTCTGTCTTTTAGGTTAGAGAAAGATAACTATTTGATGAGATTTTATTTTAAAACACACTGTACAGAGAAATGCATAAATGTAAACTCAAAGTGGACACATTCTTATAGCCAGATCCAAGTTCAAGAGACAGAAAGTTGTCAGCACCCCAAAAGCCCTGCTCATGCACCCACCCCTACCCCAAGAGCAACCACTCCCTGACTTCAAACACTGTTTGTTCTTCTTGAACTTACATAAGTTTCATTGTCCTTTGTGTCTGTGTGTCTGGTGTCTTTTCTGTTTGCTTCCTCTTTTTCCTAATCAGTGTATAATACTTGTTGATATTTATAGGGTACAATAGGATTTTCTAGTACAATAATTCAATACGTAATGATTTAGCCTCGGTAATTAGTATATTCACTGTAACTTTCTGTTGTGAATCTTAAAAATCTTTCTTTTGGCTCCTCTGAGATACACAATAAATCATTGTTAACTGTGTTCACCCCATGGTACCTTGTAACACTGCAAATTGTTCCTGCCATCTATTTGATCATTAACCAACATCTCTCTCTCTCTTTTTCCCCAGACTCTAGCACTTATTTTACTCTCTGCTTCTTTTCAATTCCATGTTTGCTTTAGAACATGTGGTATTTCTTTTTCTGTGCCCAACTTGTTTCACTTAACATAATATCCTCCAGGCTCACTCACATTACCTCACATGAGGGGATTTCATTCTTCTTCATGGCTGAATAGTATTTCTATGTGTCTGTGTGTGCCTGCATGTGTGCGTGCAGTCTGGTTTCTTTTACTCAGTGTGATGTTTGTAAGAACCACAGGATATTGTCTTATTACACAGTATTCTCTTTATCTACACTGATAACTCTCTTCCCTTAAACGAAACATTTCCCTGTATCTTTTCAGCCTTCTGACGAAGACACTGTTAGCCTCAATGTGCCAATGTCAAATATCATGGAAGAAGAACAGATCATCAAGGAGGACTCATGCCATCGCCTTAGCCCAGGCAAAGGTCTGAGAGTAAAAAATGTGAAAGAAAGTGGCTTTTTTTTTTTTTTTTGCTTTCAAATGTTTTACTTAACATAGCATGCATCAGTGTGGCAACGATAGCAGTTCATGTTTATTGAACCCTTACTATATACCAGGGACATCTGGGAATATGATCTCATTTAAAATTTAAGCTGTGAGATCGGTACTCTGATCGTCTCTGTTTTATCGGTGAGGAAACCAAGGCTCGGAGACTTTAGATAACATGGCAGTGGTTGCAGAGCCAGTACTACTACTATAGTAAATAATAGAGTTGGTCTTATTTTGAAGATTTATGGGAAATGCTTTAAATTTTTTCTGGGAAAGGAAACATTGATATAATAGACAGATTAGTTAGGAAACTTCAGCTGCACATAATTTTATTCTACACATAAAATTCTCAGATCCTAATGGCTTAACACAGATTTAGTCCAAATGGGAGTTAGTGATTGGCAGGAAACTCACTTCCAAGTGTTGATTCAATGACCAAAACTCCTTTAATACTATGACTCCACCATGTTTAACACAATGTTTGCAGTTTCCTTGTTCATCTGTTTTAAGCCAGAAGAGGAAGAGCATGGAAATTTGCTTTTGGGAGGTTTTTATGGGCTGGGTCTAAAAGGAGTGCCCATCGTCCAGTCATATATAGCCCAATTGTTAAAGGAGTGAGATCCCATAGGGAGGTTCTAATTCTGGCCCTGGTGGCATGAAAAACATATTAGGTGCCTATGTATGCATGCTTCAAATCCCGACATGATGAGGGAAATGGAGGCGAATAGGCATGACCATGCCTTTTGAGGGGTGCTTCCTTCTTCTTCTTTCTCTTTCTATCTCTCTGTCTCTCTGGCATGTGCGCACACCCTTTGGTGGTTAAACACACACACACACACACACATACACAAACAAAAGCTGAATGCTTATCACTTACAAGCTGTATTCCATTCCATGGGCACATCTAATGACATGTAATGGTGGGAAATTTAGAGATGCCGAGATGTGCATTCAGGAATCTGCATGACTTTGGACAAGTCAGTTGACCTTAATCTCCTCATGTGTAAGTGAGGTGATTACATTTAGTGATCTCCAAGACCTTTTGTAGCTCTAAAATTCTGAGACACTCTGATGATGATCAGGGATCACCAAACACTACATCTTACGTACCTCCAAAATCCTTGTGATGCTTTTCATATCTTGGTGAGAACCCTTCATGGGATTACATGATGACAGTGTTTTGATTACTCCTGTTTGCTCATGACTTTAAGAGAAAATAGTAAATTTAGCATTTATAGATTTGTGACAGAGACTATGTCATGATGCTGGAATACTATGGAACTGAATTAAGATACAATTATTTCCCTCAAGGTTTGAATATGCTCTTGTTAGTTAGGAGACCTATTTAAATTCACTCGAACTTTAGCATTTGCTTTGCTAGTTTTTAAATTTAACATTTGTGGCTATCTGAGATTATGATTGAGCCACATGTTGACTAAAAACATAACTGCACACTTTATCCCCAAGTATAATCATCACTCTGTTAATTCAGATAAACTTTGTAATATGGTGTAATACAGGAGATATTGTTGTAGACAAATCCTTCAAGTACAGGAATTACATAATTTGTCACCAATGAGTTTTTCTTCTCCTGGACGTTCTACTGGCTCAGAGTGCTTACAGAGTGACCTGTTTGTTCCCTTTTAGTCTTCAGATCAGTCTGAAGAGTTCTACCTGGTACTCTTTTTGCCTCTCTTTCATCATCTGGAACACTTCCCAGTTGGAGGTATTCTGCCTGGCCTTTCGTCTCTCTGTGGCCTTTCTCATAGTCACTTCCCTTGTTGTTAGGATTTGGGGCTCCTGTCTCGTCCCCTCCCATGTATATCTTGAGATTACTTCCTTTTTAAAGACAGGAATCAGATATGACTGATTTTTTTTTTAACCTCTAAAATGCTTAGCATAATACCAGCTATTTAGTAGCTGCTCGATAAAATTTAAGATTTCAGAAGGTTTGTGATCCAGTTTATTTTGGTATAAAACATTTATTAAATCCATGCATAGTTTTGTTTTGTTTTATAATACACTTTGTTTTTTTCCTAGAGGGTGTACATGCTCACCAGAGAGGGAGAGGGAGAGACAGACAGACAGAGAGAGAAGAAAACACCCCATATAGTAGAATGTTGATACCACAATCCTTTCACCATCATCTTTCCCTTTTAGGGTTTTGGCCATGCACACACATGCACCCAGCATATTTTTCAAGTCATCAAGTCTGGGACTTCAACCATGAGGTCAGCCATGTGGGACCCAGCTGCCTCAACTACCAGACTATGCCGTTAGCCCAGATGTCTTAATATTTTAAGTTCAATTTGGGGCTTTCTGTTTCTTTTACTTTTATTCCTCTTCCTTCATGTGTGTGTGTGTGTGTGTGTGTGTGTGTGTGTGTATTTTTTTTCTTTGCATCCTGCAGGGAAGAAAAAACTTGAGTCAAGGCTGTGCCTTCTTAATAAGCAAGAGAAAAGATTGAAGTAATTTAGTGATATATTGAAGAATTCTGTGCTTTGCCATTCTGTTCATGAAATCATGTTTTCTGTCTTTCTCTATGTTTTCCCATTAGGGGAATTTCATCAGGAATTTCAATCAGAGACTTCCCTTTTGGGTGACAACAACTCAGGAGTAGAAAGAGACCAATTTACTGATGAAGCAGAAGTTCTCCATCCAGAATTTATAAACTATATTAAGGTAAGGTTTTGAAGATCAACTCATTTGTTTACTCATTTTCTTAGAACTTAAGTTCAAGGTTACTGGTTCATTACCTTGACTCTCCACCTTGCAGTAACCCCTAAAGTCTTAGAGCATCTTCTCACAGCTGGGCATGTCTGTTTTCTAACATGAGGACCTGTTCCCTGCCATCCATACCTCCCCATTTATCTACTTAGGTGTATAATTTTCTTTTGAATTCAGAAATTGTCTCCACTTTCCACTACTCAGTGTGTCATCCAAGTTAGCAATCTTATTAGAATTACTGGGATCCCTCAGTAAAAGCTAAAATAGTGTTTTCAGTGTTCTCTACCTGAATGCATTTCTTGGGAGTATGTTCATCAATTAAAGAGAAAAGTGGAGATTTGTGAAATCTGGAAATGAATGTCTTTCCTTCTTTTAGAAGAAGCCACTCTGAGACACTTGTTTCTAACCTGTTGCTCTGAGTCATCAAAAGGCTAGTGAGGGAACCAGCAGTTAGTGTAATGGCTAGGTCGCTGGACTCCCACATAGTTGACCGCGGTTCGCATCCTGGACCCGGTGGCTTAGAACTCACGCCGGGCGCGTGTGCGCGCGTGCCCAAGATCCCGAGAGGAGAATGGAGGAGGAGAAGGGATTGCAGCATGACCATCCCCCCTGGGGGGTGATTTCTCGCTTTCTGTCTCTCTGTCTCTCTCTGTCTGTCTGGTGAGTGCACGTGCCCTATAGCGAAAACCTCTCCAAAAAAAGAAAGAAAAAAAGTAGTGAATTTGCTTAAATTTTAGGCAGATCTTCATCCTGGTAGCTACAAAGGGAAGAGAGAAAAACTAGCTCTTTACTGAGGCGGGTGGTTAAGGTAACTTCTCAGCATGATTAGGTGCCCTGGTATCTTTCTGCCAGCCCTCTTGATTCAGGTTGTGGCACCCAAGAAGCATGAGGATTGTTATTTGGGTAAAACTAAGATTCTCTGTGGCTTATGAGGGATCATGGTTTCTCAGTTTCTATGTTGAAACCAAAAATAGGATCTCCAAAATGCTCATTTTTATTTTTTGAGGCATGTGTCATGATGGCCAGACTCAGCCTAAACTAATATGTCTGGAAATCCTTTTCAGGGAAATTGTCAGGAAAACGGCTGAATACACAGACCCTGGTATGCTTAGGACAACTTTATCTCCTCAAAACAAAAAATAATGAACCTGACATATGTTTATAGTAAACCATCTCAAATGATTACAACAATTACATAGAAGAGTAAAACACAGAAATCCTCTGCTCTTAGCTGTTTGTATCTAATTTGTCATGAATCCATCAATTCATGTTTCAAAATAGTTCACACCTGTTGTCCCTTTCTGCCTCTGTCTCCATTGGCATTGCTCCAGTTGCACCCTGTCATTTTTTACTTTGATGACTGCAAAATCCTCTTCCCAATTTCTTAGCCATCCCCACATCTGTGTGTATGTGTGCACATGTATTTACACACACTTCATTTCTTTTCTTTTTTTATTTCTAAGAGAAATTTTTTTGCTATAGGGTAGGTGCACTCACCAAAGGGAGACAGAAAGTGAGAAATCACCCCACAGAGGGGGTGGCCAGCTGCAATCCCTTCTCCTCCATTCTCCTCTTGGGATTTTGGGCATGCATGCACACACGCCCAATATAAGTTTTAAGCTTCCAGGTTTGGGACTCTAACTGTGGTCAACTATGTGGGAATCCATGACATAGCCATTACGCCATCTGTTGGTCTCACACACTTCATTTCTTACAGTGTAAACCTAATTACGTTATTCTCAGGCTCATAGTTCTCAGAAAACTGTGGAAGATTGGCCCAAGTTTATTAGCTCTGTGGAACAATTCCATCATAAAAACATCAAAAATTAGAGTTTTGTCTTTATCAAGAGTTTATCTCAAGTTGAAAACTAAAGATCGAAACCCTAAGAATACTTTCAAGATGCCCAACTTTAAGTTCTAAAGGAAAATGATCAAAGAAATTGATAAAGGAAAGCTTACTGTTTTGGAAAAGTAAATTTCCCAAGTTTCGCATATTTCTGGAAGTAAAAGATTCTGGAAGTGGCTGCCTTACAGGACGGACAGAGACTGTAGAAGCAAACAGGAGTGTAGAGGTCAACTTGGCAAATGTTTCCTGGAAGATGCTTATCTTGGAAAGTCAAGAGAAGAATGCTAATAATAATAATAAAAATAACCCTAAATCTCCAAAAAGTTAAAGGAAAAGTCATACATTGGAAAATCAAGACCATCCCGGGCTTCACTACCATCACTTTAAACGTTTTTGAACATGTGCTTTATGGCCAACAAGGGTACCTGAACACTTAAAACCTCAACAACCAAGCATTTAATATAATCCTCTTTTCTTTGTTGAATTACCATCTAGTATTTTTGTAACTACAGTTGATTTTCATTATTCACGGTAGTTATGTTGTATGAAGCTGCCATGCATATTGAATTATCCAGTACTGAGCCATTGCTTTTTGGGGAAATAAAGGGTTAGGTTCCTATAAACCTCTGGTCACAGATTTTCTATCATCAGTCAGTACATAACCTTGTTTATGTATGGTTCTATTTAAATACACCTTACTTAATTTATATTGTTGACTATTAACATCGAATCCAGAGCCAACAGCACTTATAACTCAGCCAAATAAAGCTTGTCTAACACACATTATTTTCTCTGAAGCACATCATGGCCTTTTTGACTTTAGGAACACTAGACAGCACTTCGGTGCCATATCTGAGGGTTATTTTAAACAGCAAAACCACAAACAAAAGCCATAAAAGTGTGAAAATGTGGCTGTGAATACACTGTGAGAAGTATACTTGTTGATAGTATATGAGCTGAAATAAGAAGGCAGAGTTTCGCCTCGGTCCACGTCTGCTGGGAACATCCTTGTTTAGGGACTCGACAACTTGGAGTAGGTCTGCAAATGACCTTGAAAGCACCATGAGTAAGGATTTGGAAGCTACAGATATATTTAGAGCAGGTGAATTCTCAAATACAGAATCTATGAATAATGAGGATCAACTCTAGAATCATCTAACTTAGCAACTGAAACCCAGTAAGCCTGTTTTGCTTATTGGAAAAACTAGATGTTTTATACTATTGGCTACTTTTCATTTTGAAACTGAAAACTAGAAGGAAATACCCATGGCTCTTGGTCAAAACCCAACAAGAGGAGAAAAGAACACTTCTTGCTCATTTCTAGTCGTGTATTTTCACCCATCCATTTCATTATCATTTTGAGAGTGGCACAGTAGTTTACATGTTGGCTTCTTTTACAATGAAAGTATAATATAACAAATATAAGTATAATAAATATAGGAAAAGTGAGTGTTTTTTAAGCCAGAGCCCAACATCAGGCTGCTAGCCACCTCCTCAGGAAAAGCCCCATCCTTAGGACACATCTGGAGAATTAGCTGGTCCTGAGTTAATTAATGATGTGCCAGAACCCTGACACAGAAAGCCGTCCTTTTGTCTGTTGTTTCTTCCTTGCCAGAGAAACGTAGTTCCATCCAGGGGCGGCTTCCGTTCTCGCTGTGCCTGAGGGAAAGCAGCATTTCTCTCTGTCGGAGATGAAAATGCAAAGAAGCACATGGACAGCCCATGGAGGGACACACCTTTCTCAGAATTTATTCCCACTATGGTCCCTTTTCAGAAGAAAATGGAGCAGGAGCATGGGGAGGACATATGAGTGAATTTCAGATGCCGTACACATGAAAACTATTAGATGCCATTTCATGCATTTTTCTATTGTAAAGTTATTTTATACTTTCTTTTTCCACAACAATACACAGGCGTATGTGCATGCGTGCGTGCGTGCACACACACACACACACACACACATGTCTGTTCTTACAAACTGCAGAACTCACATTTACATGTGTCTCAACTAGCTCAAGGGAGGGATCTGTCAACACAAAGAGGTACTAAGAGAGCAATAAGAAATCCAATTAAGCTTTACATTTTGAACACTAAATCAACAGATGCTCTGGTCCTGGGCCAGACTGGTTTTTTTTTGTTTTTGTTTTTTTTTAATTTTCCCATTGTGAGTAAAAAACCTGCAACATAAAATTTACCACCTTAGTCATTTTTTAAGTGTAAAGTTGAGTGTCTATAAGTACATTCACATTATTGTGCAACCAACCTCCAGAAAGTTTCTCATCTTTCAAAACTGAAACTCTGTATCCATTAAATAACTTGTGATTCTTCTACCTACCAGACTTTGGCAACCACTCTTCTACTTTGTGTCCTGATGTATTTGACTTCTCAAGTACCTCACATGAGTGAAATCATACAGTGTTTGTCTTCTTGTGACTGGCTTATTTCACTGTGCATAATATAATGTCCTCAAGGTACACCATGTATATAGCACATGTGAGAATCTCTTTTTTTTGAGAGATTTTTTGCTATAGGGTGCATACGCTCGCTGAAGAGACGGAGAGACAGGAAGTGAGAAATCACTCCCCAGGGAGGATGGCCATGCCACAATCCCTTCTCCTCTTGGGATCTTGGGAGTGAGTTTAAACCACCGGGTCTGAGACATGAACTGTGGTTGACTACGTGGAAGTTCAGCAACATAACCATTACACCATCTGCTGGCTCCAAGAATCTCCTTTTAAAGGCTGAAGAATATTACGTTGTGTGTACGCGGACCACATTTGTTTATCCATTCTTCTTTTAATGGACACGTGGTTGCTTCCACCTTTTGGCTGTTGTGAATAATGCCACCATGAACATGAGCTAGGCAGGTTTTGACTCTTGACTACGAATAACCAATGGTTCTCAGAAAGCCCATGTGTTCTATTCACAGGAGAGGGCAGAAGACTGTGAAGAACTGTTACGGATAGAAGAGGACGCACACTGGCAAACTGAGGGAATGTGAGTACAAGGCCTGATTACCAGCCACCATCCTTATAAAGTTCAATTTTGGTCCATTTTCCTTTGGGCAAGCCAGTATTCTTACTTGATGATATCAGTTAAGAAGCTGTCTGTTTTCCTCTATCCGATGCTTATTGTTACAATAGTGGGCTATAGTGCAAGGCCACCATCCCTATAAAGTTCAATTTTGGTCCACTTTTCTTTGGGCAAGCCAGTATTCTTATCATCATCAGTTAAGAAGCTGTCTGTTTTCCTCTATCCGATGCTTATTGTTACAATAGTGGGCTATAGTGCAAGGTAGTACGGTGCTGTTGGCTTTGAGTGTCATCTGATTTGAGGCTGTAGGTAGAAATGGTTCAGAGAATTAGCTGGAACTTCTAGACTAGAGATTCTTCCATTTGCTTGAAGAAGTCAACAACTAGACTGGATCACTATGAAGTTGGTCTGTTGTGCTGGCCCCCTTCTTTAACCTAGAATCTTCTAGCTCAAGAGCTGAGGAAATTTCAAATACCCTTGTCCCAAAGCTTACAACTGTAATAACTAACATTTATTTAACTCTAAATGCCAGATAATTCACAGATCATAAGTCATTTCATCTTTATAGCAGTCCCATGAGATCAGTTCTGTTGTTGTCCCCCATTTCACAGATGACAAAACTGAGGCACAGAGATATCAATTATCTTGTCCCCAGGTCACAGAGAGCCAACATTTGAACCCAAGGGGTCTCGCAACAGATGGATATCTCTTGTATGCCACTGTCTATACCAGTTTCATTTGGCAAGATTTATGGGTGAGGGAATAAATGATCTCATTAGGTGATGAACTATTTCCAGGAGAATTGAATTTGGACCATGTGGCAAAAAGTAGAGTTTTGTTTCTCAGGATTTTGTTTTCCATGGTCTGAGATGGAAGCCAGAACCTCCCATCATACTTTGTGGAGGATTTTGCTTAGTGAGAATTTATTAAAGTGTTATAAATATAAAAAAATAAATTAAAAAAACCTTCCCAGTCAAGCCATGGTAGTGAATACTGATTGGTGCTGCTACTCAGCAGACTGAAATTACATAGGAGGCCTAGGTTCAATTCCTGGCCCACCCTAACAGTCGGACACAGCAGTGCATGCCTGTAGTCCAAACTACTCAGAAAGTTGAGGCAGAAGAATGCTGACCTAGTAAGATACAGTCTTGAAAAAAATCAAAAATAATTTTTAAAAAGTAAGTCATTGGATTATGTTCTGTAGTGAGAAGGGTAAACACTGATCAACTTTCTTGGTTTTTTTTAGAATTATTTTATTTCATTTTATTTATCATTATCATTATTATTTTTTTAATTTGACCAGGAAGAGACAGAGAGAGAGAGGGGGACAGGGAAAGTGAGGAAGCAAGCTGCCTGCTCCAGGACTCAAACTGCAGTTGGCCATATGGGAGTCCAGCACCTTAATTGCCATGTCGCCTACTGGCCCCTTTTTCTTACCTTCTATAAACATTGGAAAGGACTTTTAATGGCAAATGTATGTGAATAAAATCAAAATATTATTTTTAAAAAAATATTGGAAAGTTCTTCTCTAATCACGGTTTGTGGAACCAGCTATTTGTTGAATGTACTTCTGAGAATCCATGAAGGCCTAGCTTGTTTGCAGAATCGAAGACTCATGGAGAAAGAGAGAGTTATTTTAAAACTATATAGTTTCAGAAACTCCATTCCCAATCTTCTGTCATTCTTAACCCTGGCTATATATCATTTTACAACTACAAAGTCCCTAACCTGCCATCAGACTGACTTAGGAAACCTGGGCTCCACAGGTGATTTGCTCATGTAAAGCCTGGACTGAGCACTCCTGTCCCACGCTGAAGTCCTGTACTGTACAAAAGTATTCAAACTGAGCCGCACTGATCAAACTGGAGTTAGATGGCCCTGAAGAAGTGCAGGCCTGCCCAGCAGAGTCCCCCTGTAACTCCCCCTAGATTTTGGGAAAGTACACTGTGAGGCCTACCCATCCATCAGTGTCTGATTGCACCTGGGAGTAGTTGGGGCCCACAGATGTTGACACACGTACATGAGCTGCTTCGCCGAAGAGCTGGACTCCCCCAATGCAGGAGTTCTTTCCACGCTACTCTGGCCTCTACCCAGCTTGGTAATGTCATGTCTTCATTATAATGTCGAATTTTTCAAAATCATCTTTATGTTATCATGTTAGATGGAGTTTTATAAGTCTGCTCTTAAGAATGTAGAAGAGATTCATATTTTAGTGATCATTTTCACATTCGTGCTTGGTTTCATGTTACAGAATAAGTTCATCCAAAGATCAGGACATGGATATAGCAATGATTGAGCAGCTGAGAGAAGCAGTAGATTTGCTACAAGATCCCAATGGGTATGCATGTTTTTCCTTGGCCTACATTCCATATGTAAATAATACATACTATGTATTGAGTGTATTATCTTGACTTCTGAAATATTTATACATCCAATTTGGACTTAGTCTAACCACTAACAAAGACAAGTCTTTTCAATTACCTATATTCCCACCGTCCAAAAGTAAGAGTCAAACTTCCAAAGTAATTGAGACGAAAAAAATTACCTTTTTTCTACCACTAAATGAAACTCATTCATCTTTTGTGGAATTTATGTAGGAATTTGGTCTATTATTCTTAGAAAACAAAAATATGTTAAAATGCATGTTTTATATTGCTTACATTTTAAACCCCTGCTCTATAGAAATGTAAGGGACATTTTTCTAAAAATGAAAGAATTAATATATCACATATAACTATATTTCTAGTGGTGCTATATATGTATCAACTTAGTAATATATTCCAAGAGATCTGGGGAAATTTTTAATTGATCATTTCCAATAATAGGCACTCCATTCAGTGGATGTGTGTTTTTGGTTTCTTAGCTAAGGATAATGGAATTCCTATAGACAAAATATTTTTCATTAAGATGGTATCAGGTATCAGATAATAACTACATGATTGCTAGAGAAGTGGGTCCAGAGTTTATCAATGGTAAACTGTTCAGGAATCCTAGGAATTTAGTTTAGAGATGATGTGGCTTTACACTGTGGTGAATACGGGAACCACAGTGTAGCAATCCAGTTGGTTTGTGCGAGTTTACAAAAAGGTGATTTGTGAGTACCAGAGTGCCAGAGAGAACATACCACTAGTTTCATCTGGCCCTGAAAGGATACTGGTGGGTTAGGTTGAGTAGAACTGCATATCTTCAGCAGCTGATTAAAAAGCATTTCAATTCTGTAGACATTAATTGAGTGCTTAGAGAATGGGCAGATCTCCAGTACGCACCTTGGGGGATATAAAGATGAATAAGACACAGCTTGACTATAGAAGCTAGAAATTGCTTTGAACAGTTTGTAAGTCTAATTCATTTAAGTGCTTGAAGTGGGGGTAAAAGTGATAAACTCGAGTGAGTGCCTAGTGCCGGGGAAGGGGAGAGGGAGAGCCTGAAGGTCTAATGACTGGCATTCTCAATGAGAAAGCAGATTTGGGATTGAATCTACTCTTGGCAGAGACATGGAGAACAAAAGAACAGGGCTAGCTTGGAAAATCTCAGCAGAGAGAGGTTCTCCACATTGGTGTGCTTCAGTTTCATTTGTAGAACTTTTTCAAAATGGAGACCAGGAACTACCCATGGGTCTCAGGGCTGGTCAGCCAGTGCTTCTGATGCTCTCAGGACTGAGAATCCCCAGAGAGGCAGTGTGGAGTGATGCAGGGAGGGCTTCAGATGCTGCACATTTGTATTGAGGATCTGAGGCTCTTTCATATATAGAGGGAGGCTTAATTTATGTGACTTTTCTACATCCATTTCCCCATCTGTAAGATGGGTGACAAGTACCTACCTTTTATGGTTGTGAGGATATGAAATAATTATGTGAACTGCTAATTGGAAGGCAAATTGACAAAACTATTCTAGAAGTTATCTCAGTAGTATTGACCAAAGGCTAATATATAAACCTTTCAAATGAATTCTAAACATTTATCTGAAAAGATAAAGAGACGTGAACAAAGATGGAAGGAGGGGAACTGGAAGAATGGGTATTATTGACAACAACTATTGGGTTGTCAGTAAAGTCACGACATATTTTTGCGTAGGAAAACAGAAAAATACATCATGACTTTCCTGACAACCTAATATTTGGAAAAAGGAAATTATCTAACAATCGGAGAATACATTATATTATGTTCATTGATGAGATAAAACCTGCTGTAGCCAATTAAAACGTTTTTTAAAGTTTCCAGTGATATTATAAAATATCCATGGTGCAATATTAACATTTGAAAAGGATCAAAGCTGTGTAAAGTTTGATCCTAGTTTATGAATAGAACTAGGTCTCACTTGTATAAGATACTTAGTTCCTTCCAACTATGTTAAGATGGATGTTTTTCTGTGTCTATTCTAAGTCATTATTATTCTTTATATTTTATGTATTGTAGATATTCAGTGGGGATTATGTGAAAGTAGGTGGTGAGAAGGCTAAGAAGAAATAGTCTGAAGTGTTTTATGTCTCATTATCTGAGTTGGGGAACCTGGAGGGGAAGCAAGTTTGAGGAGATGTCAGGTTCAGTTCAGAACATGATGAAGAGAAATCAAGGTGTCCATGTGCTATTACCCACTGAGCTGCTATATGTCTAGTTCTGGACCTTAGAGACTTCAGGTTCAAAAGTCACTTTCATAAGGCACTCCAGTTAACAGAAGCTGTATAAGAGGACAGGATGCCCAAGGGCAGACATGTCAATGAGAACAGAATGTGGGAACAAATTTTCCATTATTTTCATACTCATGTCTTTTAAATTTCATATTGATCATATAAATGTTCCTTGCAAAGTGTAGATTGAGTCATCTATGAGCTGCAAAGCAAAGCAAGAACAGCCTAGATTGGTAGAAATGGCAGTGGCCTGGATGGGGGCCCAGTAGTAAGACATGAGTGATCTAGAGGAAATGGCTCCTTCTCTGGGTCTCGGTTTTATCATCTTCTGTCAAGAAGTGGGTCAAACCGAGGATCTTCAGATCCTTCTCTAGCTCTGAGATATCTGGGGAAATGATCTGCTAAGGTTGTTGAGCAAGTCGAGATGGTGATGTGTGTTGCACTGTGGAAGGAAATATCTTCCAAGATATTTCCAAAGGGAGTTTGATTTGTGTCTTCATAGAGTGCTTTTTAAAAATTACACGATACTGTAAGATTAATGAAACTTTATTCACTTCTGTAGATAAAAAGTTCTGGAATAAAAGTATGTGCTGCCTGTGGAAATTATTATTTTATCAGAAATTACTATTAGCTTGCAAATATATTTGACGTCTATACCGGTTGCACATGGAAAATTATATTTTGGCACATGGTAAGAAAATACCATGTAGTTTGAAATTTCTATCCTAAACCTATCATTACTTAATCCTAAAGATAACCCTAACTTTTTAGTATATTAAAATTTAAAACTATGACTAACTTATTAAAAATGAGATGGCGATAAATTTGCTAACATCTTTCCCCCCTCTACTCTTTAGATTAAGCACAGATATTAGAGAGAGAAGAGTTTTAAGCCTGTATCCTCTGGGATCATCAGAAGCCTTAGAATTACAAGATTCTGCACTAAAGTAAATATGTTTATAACGAAGTGTATTTTCTCTTTTTACATTGAAGTTTTATGCTTTCAATTCCATTTTATATCTTTTTTCCCCTTGTTCCTACAGTGGTCAAATACAGCTGGAGACATCTCCCGAGTGTGAGGTAAGGTTGCTTTGGGATTAACCAGAATACTGGCCACTGTGTTTCGTAAAAATTTATCAGGGAGAAAAAGGAAAGCATTTTTGTCAGTAAGGCCAATATTTAAATTTGTTCAGGGCACATTTTCCAATATTTCCATACTTTTGCTCTCCTTAATTCTGCTTATCTATTGTATTTTGCTTTCCACAAAGATAGAGTTGCTATTTCATTTAGATTCTCAAAATGTGTTATGTCAGATAGTCTTGCTCAGTCAGACGATGGCAACTGAGATACCTAGGGAACCTGTTTGGTATCAGAAACTGGAGGTGAGTCCTTTCAAGGCAAACTTTAGAGCCATGAGAAACATCTATGAATGAGAATAATATAGGAAAGAACTAAAAGACAAGAGCAAGCAATGTGGAAAAGTCTAGGAACATTAATAGAATGTCATAAAGAGAAATTGGTGGTGTATTTGAGGGCAGAGTAAGGGTAGGTTAGGTGGAGTTACATGAAGTGAAATTTAGGTGGCTCTAGAGAAAATAGTTTTGATATAAAAACCAGAAATGAGCCTAGAAGGTCCCAAAGGAATAAATTTACCAGTGATAGAGGTTCTAGCTGGTGATTTAGGAGTAAAACAGGCTACAACCTATTTCATTCCTTCTTTTTAAAAATTAAATTAATTAATTATTATTATTATCACTACAGGACACATGCTCTCATCAAAGAAAGAGAGAGAAATAAAGAGGGAAGGTCCGAGAAAATGTTCCCCCAAAGGAGATGGTCATGTCACAATTGCTTCTCAGTATCTCCTGTCTAGATTTTGGGCACTCACTCATACATACCTGCCACCTTTTTCAAACTGCCAGTCCAGGACTCTAACCACATGGTTGGTCCTATGGGATCCAGCCTCCTTATCCACCATGCCACTCACTGGCTGGCTCTGTTTCATCCCTTTTTAATGAATGGGCTTAGGATGGCTAATTTAGGTACTGAAAGTGTGTGCAAAGCAATTTATGCCCTCTGAGGTATCTGCACAGCACTGTAATATAGCAGGTTTTTACTCTTCATTAGCTTAGTCTGTATATTAAAGAAATAAAGAAAAAAAGAACTGTAAAAGGAAAAGCCATGTTCCCAGAGAGTATGGTTTCATCATGAAGCACAGTGACTCAGAATTATCAGAGGTATCAGTCCCATCTGAAAGACTTGACAACCAGGGGCAAGTTAATCAACCTTTCTAAACTGAACCTTCATTTTCTATAAATTGGGCATAATAGTACCTATTGTAAAGATCAAAAGAGATGGTTCAAGGAAGGTCTTACTACACAGGGCACCTAATGGTTAGTTTGGTTATTTTAATACTCTGTTAGTGTTACTGGCATGGTCTCTAGACAGAACCACTGTGCCTCCTCTCTCCTGGGTGGAGGCATCATTGAACTGCCCAGTATTTGTTGAGTAGCTAGGCTGAATTCTACTGTGTTTTTTGGTGTAGAGGACTAGAATAAAAAGAACATGAAATTCCTCTCTATTCTAAGGAGTTTTTTAAATTATTAAGGAAAGAAGACTTAGGTATGTAAAAGTTTAAGAGAAAAATATGAGATGAAATGTAATTCTGAGTGTGTTTTAGGTCCTTGAGGAGACTGAGGGAGGGATAGAGTTAAGGAGAAGGAAGCAAATTTAGATGTTTGGACTGTTTGAGATTTAGAACTGTAGTCAGGAGGCTGTGTTGAGCAAGGCAGCATGGCCACAGCAGAACTGGCACATGTGAGAATTGGACAGAAGGGTAAGGCCTAGGTTATGAAGCAGTGTATAATTGTAGCACATCACATCATGAGATTTTATTATGTGACATATGTTAGATGACTGTCTACATCGAGGTTGGGTAGCATTGGCATCCAGGAAGAATGAAGAATTCATTTGGGAAGAACTACAAATTGCATGTTCATACATAAATAACATCAATAATAGAGAATATCAGTGAGGACAACAGGGAAAATCAGATAAAAGAGTTGCTGTAGAAATAATCATATATAAAGTTAACTGTAAACAGTTCAAACAAAGCCATTTATTTGGATCAATGGCATTTAATTCTAAAAATATGTTTTTCCCTCGGATATGTGTTAAAGTCAGGATTTTCTTTTGGTAGAATTCAACAAAGAGAAAGAATCAGTACATTAATTAAATATACACTAATTTGGGATTGGTCCCATGGCCTGGTGGAACAAACAGATCCCACATGGCCAATTGGGTGGTTCAAGTCAAGAACCCTGCAGCTTGAAAAAACACACCTATTGCTTGTATGTATATGCCCGAAATCCCAACAGGTTAGAGAAATGGAAGAGAAAGTATTGTGGCATGACCATGGCCCATTGGATGGTGCTTTCTACTTTTCTCTGTCTGTCTCTTTGTCTCTCTCTGGTGTGTGCACACCCTCTGGGGGGAAAATATTTATACTAATTTGGTGGTATATATGAAGTTTATATCAGCTCTCATTAAATTTTTTGTTAAGGCGGATCAACAGTGTTCTTGTTTACCATATAAGGAAGGCAGATGTGGGGGAAACCCCAGATGACCTAATGGTTACATTGCTGGACTGCAGTTCACGTACGGACCCCGTGGCTAGAAACTCATGCCCTGCACACATACTTGTGTGCCGAAAGTTCTGAAAGTAGCATGGAAAGAAGGGAATGTGGCATGGCCATCACCCCCGGGGGTCATTTCTTACTTTCTATCTCTCTATCTCTTTGGCGAGCACACTTGCCCAATAGCGATAAAATCTCTCTCAGAATAGATAAATAAATAAATAAATAAATAAAAGAAGGCAGATGTGGATAAAATAACCTAGAGTGTGCCCTTCATGGGCCCCTTGTCTTTATGTGACCATTTCATGCCCTCAAACACTGTTCTCACCTTCTTGTCTCCCTAGGGATTTTTTTTTTTTTTGGGAGGTTTTTGCTATAGGGCTCGTGCGCTCAATAGACAGACAGAGAGAGACAGAGAGATAGAAAGCGAGAAATCAACTGGGGTGATGGCCACGCTGCAATCCCTTCTCCTCCCTTATCCTCTCAGGATCTTGGGCACGCACACACACGTACCCGGCGTGGGTTCTAAGCCACCGGGTCTGGGACTCGAACCGCAGTCGACTATGTGGGAGTCCAGCGACATAGCCATTTCGCTAACTGCTGATCCCTCCCTAGGGAATTTGGCCACCTCATGTTCTCAGGGATCCCGTAATAATAATGACTTCCAGATCTGTGGCTCATGCCCCAAATTCCTCCTTTGTCTCCCAGTATTCAGATTCCATCTCCATATCCCATAAATTTTTTATTCTCTCCATGGCTATATACTGATGCTCTCAATTTCCTCCTGAACTGCTCCCATACTTTCAGTGGTATTCAGAGATACCATTATCCACCCAGTCATTCCTGCTGGAAACCAGGATACTATCTTGATTTTCTTCCATGTCCAACTATCAATCCTGCACACTTTATTTGCCGTGAAAATAATTCCTGATTGCAAGCAAACTGATGCAGAACTGACAACATGAGATTTGCCTAGGTAATTTGAGGACGGAGCATGTGTATTTATCAAAAGTTCCCAATGTGACTCTGTATACTTCAGAATCACTACTTTGGACCCTTTCTAGAAACCCATCATTTGAGGCCAGCAGTCAGTGTAGTCAGTAAGACACTGGACTCCCATATGGCTGACTTTAGTTTAAGTCCTGGACATGGCGGCCTACTTTCTCACTCCCTCTCTCTCTTTGTGTCTCTCTCTGGTGCGTGCCCTATAGAAAATTTAAAACATATAATAATAATAATAGTAAATAAAATTAGATGAGTAATTCTTTTAAAAAAATCATTAAAATAAAAATGAGAGGGCTCAGCAGGTGGCATGGTGGTAAAAGTGCTGGACTTCCACACAGTCTATTATGTTTTAAGTCCTGGACCAAGCAGGTGGCTTGAAAATCACACCAGGCACATGTGTGTGCATGCTCAAAATCCTGAGAGAAGAATGGAAGAAAAAAGGTTGTGGTGTGGTCACCCCACCACGGGATGATTTCTCACTTTACCTCTCTTTTTCTCTCTGTCTCTAGTGAGCACGCCCTATGGCAAAAAAAAAAAAAAAAAAGTGCTAGTGGGAACCAGCAGACAGCTGAAAAACTAAACTCTTTGCTCTAGGAAATGACTGGTCTTAATTTAGTGATACTTGGATGTATTTTTCTATGAATGCAAATGTATGTTCTTAGAAAATGTATTGTGCATGACCTGCTTGACATGCTATCTGATTTAGTTTCTATTCATTATGTTCCTATGGGCCTGGGATGTGATGAAAGTAAGAAAAACACAGTTCTTGCTTTGACAGTTTCATAGTCTAATGGATCCTACTATATTTTCCTCTTCCTTAAGGTGCAAAATGAGCTAACATTGCAGAGTAATGGGAGCCCGTATTCTCCAAACGAGGTATGTCTCCTGAAGATTAATGGAAGCTAAGGTATTTTATGAAACCTGAATTGAATTATCTTACAGAAATCATAATCTAAGACTGTTGTGATTAGTGAGTTTATTGAAGAGTTGCTGGAGAGACTCATCTCACTCACATTAGATAGCCTTATCCAGCCCTATTTATAATTAAAGATTAACTTGTATAAGATATGTTTTTGAAAACCAAAGATGAAACCATTCTGTTTGGAAACAGAATGAATATCTCTCAAATATGCAACATTTAGAATGTCTTATTATCCAAAAATGATTCAACATGAGGTTTCTCTGTAGGTGAGACATCCATTTAGTGTTGGTGTCTGTTTCCTCATCTCATTACATTATGAGAGTCTTCATCAAATGTATCTTCTTTTAGATGTAGATGAATGTGGATGTACATACCCACATATGCACACACACACACACACACACACTATGCTAGAGGAAAGAGGGATTGTGTTTCACAGAATTGTAAAGTAGTTTTATAATGAGCAAATGAAAACCTGGCTGCATCACTCCAAAACAGCATTCTGTTGATTCTGTTGATTATGTTGCCTCTTGAAACATTTACAAATTGATTTATTACCAGGACTTTATCACATACCCGCAAATGCAAAAAAGGGAATGGTTTTATTATCCTGACCACAGAGAAGCATACATAGTTCTGCTTTGGTTTTTCCCTAATTTCCTTTCCTTCTAACACCACAGATTAGAGAGAACTCCCCAGCGATCTCTCCTGCCACAAACAGCACAACTCCATTTGGCCTGAAGCCTCGATCAGGTAAAGTGAAACAAACCTCAGCCCATTCTCACATTAAGGATTTCAGTGGTTTCCCTTCAGGCTTTTAAATGTATACATTATGAATGTGAACATTCTTGTCGATTCTGGTGAACTGGACTTTGGGCATCAGAACTAGCTGCAGCCAGGGGAGGTCAAGGTTGGGAGTTTTCAGTGAATCAGCTGTTAAGTCCATGTTATCAGTAATAGATCTTACCTTCTTTTGAATCAGAGCAAAGAGGACAAAAGATGGTGGGAGTATGTATGTGGAAAGATATAGACTCTTCTTACCCAGGGAAGATAAGAGAACTGATACTCCAGTGGCTCCTCGTGCCCTCCTAGGTAAAAGGGCAGCCTCTGGGGGAGCGAGCCTGACTTCCTTCTAAGACATTCCTCATTTGCTTTCTGCACGTGGTAGGGTCTATGTATCTACTCATATAACAGGGCGATCAGTTCAAAGTTTGCATGAGGGTCAGGAATGATTAAAAAGTATTCGGAAAGGATCCTGCTTATATTACTACCTACTTTTGTTTTATACTTTCTTAAATTACTGTATTCACAGAGTGAATTATAGCAATGTGCAAAATAGCTATTGATTTTTTAAAGAACTCTCTAGGAAAGTTTACTTTTTTCTGATTTCTCCATTATTTTAAGTTCTGGTACTCTATTCTGCTTCTTTTTCTAAGGTCCTTTTTTGTTTTGATATATTTTGATTCTTTGATGTTTATTATACCCTCACTACTAGTGCTTGTAAACAGATGCTAATAAAGGGTTCTTTTAAGTACAAGGTAGAAAGAAAAAAAACCTCAAGTATTCTTAGGTTTTCAAGAAAATATTCTGTAAACAGAATTATAGTAGACATTACAGTAGACAGTAGTATTATTTACACACATGCATCCTTTGAAAAAAAGGTATCCATAGGGAAGAAAAGATTATTTAATAATCAGTGTTAAAACAGTTTATTATTTAAAACAGTTTTTTATTCATAGAGCAAGCTAATTGATGAGTAACACATAGTCAGGTATGATGGTTTCCTAGCAGTTTGAATGGACGTTAAGAGAAGAGCCATTTGAGAAAATCCTTGATCATGGCAAGAGTTAGCGGATGTTTAATGAGGAACCAAACTGTGCATAATATCAGCTTCAAATGGTTGGCCTTCTCATGTATGGAACTAAACCTATGTGACCAGATCCAGGCTGGGGGCCTTTCACCTGGCTCCCACTTTCATGGCCTCAGGTGTGACCTAGGAGGAATGGAGGTCAGTCCAGGCATACCTTATCCACGCTTCTGGTGGTGACACATCAGGAAATTTACCTCTACACACCAATGTCCTCGTACTGGGTTGCAGACTTCCTCTTAGTCATTATAGGCAGTTTTACATAATTTTAAAATATTTAGGGACCAGCAGATGACATAATGGTTACGTTGCTGGACTCCCACATGGCCAACTGTGGTTCAAGTTGGCCAGAGGCTTAAAACTCAGGCCCAGTACATGTGAGTGCATGCCCAAGATTTCAACAGAAGAATGGAGGAGAAGGGATTGCCATCCCTCCTGGGGGGTGATTCCTCGCTTTCTTTCTCTCTGCCTTTTTCTGTCTTTCCAGCGAGTGCACACGCCCTATAGCAAGAGTCTCTTTTAAAAAAGAAAAACTTCGTAATTGAATGGCTTTCCAAAGAAGGATATATCTTTAACTGTGCAACATTGCAGTAAAATTTTAAAATTGTTTCAGAGACGTTTTTATTCCTTGTATGGAGTCCCAATTCAGCAAAGTTAGAGTTTACATATATTGGCACTGGTAAACCATTTCAGTCTTCATAGTGGTAAAAAATAAATATAGTATTCATGTTGAATAGTAGGAGACAAAGATAGTTTTCTCTACATGCTCCCAAGCATTCTATAATGCTGACTCACCTATGTGGGAATTGTTCTAGTTAAAGTTTTATGGAGTCTGGTTGTTGTAAATAATGCTGATTTATCCTCATGGACATCAAGTAGCACATTGGAACTTGATAAAATTAGTGTTACATATTAGAATTTTTTTCATTTTATTTAGCAACTTTTAAATATTACAATATATATTATTTACATTTTATGGAAAATAACACACACATTGTCTCAGAGATTCTATGATTTAAAAAAGAAACCATTTTTTAATTGAGTTGCTTTGGAATGTTTAAAGCCAAATGATTTTTATTTTAAAATTAAGTATGTGGACTTACGTGATTTGTGTGTTATTAATAGAAACAGACTAACCAAATTAGCAACTTGAAATAAGAACTTAGATTGTTAAAGTTAGCTGACAGTTTTCTTCAAAAGAAACTTTTTATCTTCTGTGATTCTTCCCAAAGAAAGACAACCATATGTACCCAAATATTTACTTCTAGAACTTTATCTATTCATATTACTGACCCTGCCTTGTGGTAAAAAAAAAAAAAAAAAAAAAAAGTATATGTGTATTTTCTAAATAAGAAATTAGTATGTGGTATTTAGTACAAAAATTTCATAAATTACCAACTCAAAAGTTCTTGAAATTGATTGACATCCATTGGTTCATTGGTAAATAGACTCCAATAGTGTCCAAAATTACTGTGTTGTTTTTATCTTTTGCTGAGAAATATTGAAAATACTATTGAGAGGTATGTCAAGGATTGAGGAGTTGGCTAGATCAAGCTATAAATAAAGCATGCAGTATACTTTCAGATGTCTTTTAAAAATATTACATTCCTCTGGGTAAAAAAAAATAGTAATGGTAAGCAATTTATAATAGTTTTATTTCTCAATATAGATATATTTATACATATTAAATTTTGCCCTATGTGACCAAAATGTTTGTGTGTATCATATTTGCTAAGATCTTTAGTCTGGTAGAAAGTCTTTGAGAAAGGTATCTGGTAGACCTTTTGCTTTTTATCTGTATAACCTGTGGGGACTCTTTCTTCCTGAAAAAAAAACTGCTGACATGGTTCATTAGTACTCTAAGTCTGTGGGCTTGCAGAACTGTTAAGATTAACGATATTAACTGCATGCAATGTATATGATTAATGAGTACTAACACTCAGTTTTTATCATTCTTTTTATTCCATGCACCATCTTTCATTCTCCTATATTGTACATTTGAAATGAAATCCCATATAAATGAAACTCACTTCATTTTCATACAAACCTTATGCCATTTGTGAAATGCTGCTGCCCCTTTGGTTTTTCCTGATCCTTGTGCAACTATTCGCGGACTGGCTCTCTCGCTCTCCTGCAGACCCAGCCCTCATTCTTCCTCCTATCTCCTTCAACAAACTTACACAGGCACAAACATGGGACAACTCTAGCTACAGTGTTCCATCTGAAGGAGACAGTGACAATGGTAGGTGGCTTTGTACCTATTCTTCAATGTTCTCATTAATAAGCCAGTGAATATGCTGAGCATTCATTTCTGCACAGCTGAAGATAAGAGTATATGCACCTGCATGCTTGATACAAAAAAAAAAAACCAAGCCTAGAAAGCGAAGTCCAGAGATGTGCATGTGGATTGTTGTCTAGCAGTTTGTCAAGCTCTAGTTTAATTATCTCGCATATTCTGAATTTTGGGAGGACTTTATAATACTTTCTATCTTTTCTGCGTGGGTTTTGTGATTGGTTTGCTCGTTTACAGAGGTTTGGGGTTTGCACATTTGGATTATCTCTGCTTGCTTCTGCATCTGAACTAAATGCTTTTAGAGTTTGATCTTTTATGATCTATGCTTACTGTATGAGATTTTTAAGGTAATTAAAGCATACCATTGCTGATCCTTGAGTGTTGCACTGAAAATAATGTTAGCGTTGAAAGACTTCTAAAAATGAAATCACTTGCCTTCTCCTTTTTTATTTCTAATTATTTGCACATTTTGACTTTTGATATCTTCCCTACAATACTCACTTGGTCTGAGAATCAAGTGTAAGTAAAAATTAAAAAGCATCCAAAAGGAATACTGATATGGATAATTTTTAATTTGTGCCATTAAATATAAAATAGCCTAGGAGATGAAAATAAAATAATTGTTTAGATCTACATATCATATAATATGAGCCTGCATTCTAGTCTGATGTGAGTTTAGATTTTAAGCATTTTACTTTAAAATACAAAGTGGTAGAAGTAATGTCAAATGAAATAAGTGTGTGATTTATAGGGAAAGGAAGTGAGATGTGAAGTTTAATCACAATGCAAATACAATAGAAAGATATGTTTTTCTGATAATACTTTTCGTTTTTTTGCCTAAGTATTTTATTTGTAATACTTGGAAAATATGTATTTAAAACACTAAGATTTCTGGGGACTAGCAGTTAGCGTAATGTTTATGTCGCTGGACTCCCATGTAGTCAACCGCGGTTCGAGTCCCGGACGCGGTGGCTTAACCTCACGCCGGGCACATGTGCATGCGTGCCCAAGATCCCAAGAGGAGAATGGAGGAGAAGGGATTGCGGTGTGGCCATCCCCACTGGGGGTTGATTTCTGACTTTGTGTCTCTCTGTCTCTGTCTGTCTGGAGAGCGCACGTGCCCTATAGCAAAAACCTCTCAAAACAAACAAACAAAAAAAACCACTATGATTTCTGGTTAAAATTGAACCCAAAATGCTTTTACAATTTCATTATGTAGAAGGCTCATGTAACTTCAGCAGATTATTTACAAAAGGAATTCTATTCTTTTGTGGATTTCTAAATTTTTAACTAAAAATAACTATGATTTATAAACAGTAATGAAATAATAGTCCCTCTTTGCATCATCCTCTTTTCAGTTCTAGAAGTTGAAGAGGGCTAAATGGGAACTTTCTTAATAAACTGTCCCATTACTTAAAAATAAATGTAATTTAAAAGAAGGGGAGGCAGTTTTTTGTTTTTCAGAAAGTGTGGCTATTTATGGACCTGTGTGGTTTAAAGGAAGTACAGCCTAGAATGAAAGATTTATGTGTGATTTGCTATTTCCTTAGGGATGATATCTGAAACCAGAGGACTTTTGTAAAGCTGACAATGAATTCTGTAGCACAATTTCTATCCTTCTAGAGGAACCACTTAAAATCAGAAAGGTGAAGTGAGCTTTCTAGGTCATATTGCTAGATAGAAGCAGGTGAGGCCACACTCAGGTTCCTAATTCTTGACTTTTCTCTCTATCATGTCTGCATTCATCCTACAGATTTTATCAGGGACACGATGTCCACAGTACTAAGGCAGGTTGCCTTCACTTAGTAAAAATCCTGGGACTTTCACAGAAAGCAGTCATTGTGAAGATCCTTCTAAAAATAAAATAACCTTGCAATAGTTATTTGGCACTTTTTATTTTTTAATGAAAGAAAATTCCAGGAATTCATGTGTAGCTGTTATGCTGTACCTTAATGATATAAAAGGATTGTTTTCTGTTTTCATCAGGCTCAGTCGATTATGTCAGACATTCAGTGGTGTCATTTCCCCTATTTACAATTTGACTATAATATGCCCTGGACAGCAGATAATGATCTAGGCAGAAATATTCTTTAAAAATATTTGTACAGTTCCTGGACCTGATCTTTCATGTGTGTTTTCTCATCATGCTGAATGTTACCTTGTGATATAAATGCATTTCTAATACATTTTAAAATTATTACTGTCTTGCCTTATACAAGCCCTTTTTATTTAAATTTTTCCAAAAGTTTATTTTATTTTAAATTTCCTATTGTCTCTAACCCTTATCCTTGAAAGAAAAATTTTTGAATGATAAAAGGACTATAGAAGGTCCTTGGCAGTTTGAATTCCAATAATCCCCAAAGTTCTGCCTTCTGAGATGGAAGGAGGAGCCTTAGAGAGGTTTGTAATTCTGCCCACCCCTGGAACTGGATGAGGTTCTGCTCCGTTTGTTCTTAACCTTGAAACTTTTCTGCCTTTTCCATTGCTTTTGAGCCCTATCTCTACTCTGACTCTTCCCTTTATCCTTTCACGTTGAAGTTAACTTTTCCTATCTTCTTTTGAAGTCATTTCTATTTCTTCATTTGTGATGAATTGGAAAGTGCTAGTTCATACTTATTTAAAATTGACCTTTATCTAGAGAATGAAAAAAAAATATTCGTTTGGATGGCGTGAGCCAGTTTACAGACATTTTTTATGAACTTTCTATAATAATCTTGCACTAAGATACTATTTTCTCCATTACAAAGATGAGGGAACTGTGAGGATGTGGATGATATTTCAGTGGTTCTCAACTCTGGCTTCAAATCGAAATTGCCTAGGCCCAGTATTTTTTTTTTTCCTATGTTATTACTTTTATTTTTAATGTCCAGAGTTTGTAAGACAAGGGCCAGAGCTTCCTTCTGGACACAAAAGTTTTCTAAATTCTTAATTGGCTGGTGAGGCCAATAGGGGTACTTCTTGTCTAATGTGGTTTCTGGGAAGACTTCATTCAAGTCCTCAATGGTCATCTGATCAAATGGAATTATGTTCTTCATCTTCTCCAGCTGTTTCTGATCTTCTTCAATCCTGGCCTTTGAGAAGGACACAAATTCAGCACAATTTCTGAGGTCTTCCTTTTCTTCAGCCTCCGCTGGGACAGTATATTTATCCTCTGGCCCAGGAACTTTCAGGGCATTAAACCTCTTCTCAGAATCATCCACGAAACCTGCCTTGGCCACACTGGCCTTGTAGTAAGCCCAGTCAGTAGCTGGCAGATTCTCAAGTAGGGTAGCCATCCTGGAGGTAAGGGTCTCATCCCATGTTTTCAGGGAGTTTGCAGTAGCCTTTTGGTTTTGGGATATTATTTCCCCAAAAGCTACCCAGTCAATAGTTTTTAGGGCAAGTTTTCGCTCGGCCATCTTGCAATTCTTCACCAACTCCAACAGTACACAGTCTAGGCCCAGATTGAGAGCTGCTAATTTATTTGGTGTGTCACTGAATGTAAGCACTGACAATTTTACTACTTTTTCTGTGCTGTCATATAGTATGCGAGTAGGTTTGAAAGCCACTACAGCTGCTGTGTTGTTGATTAAGTTGCCTAAGAAAATAGATAAAAAAAAAATCAGGATTTTGAGGGCAGAGAATATATCTAATTCATTTTGGGGCAACAGAAGGGAATGGATGAATGAAGTAGCTAATTTCTATTTCACAGTGGCCTAAATTTTGTTTTTTTTTTTTTCAAAGCCACCATTTTAGCCCTTGAATGTGTATGTCTTAAATGTCATGCCTCATCCTGGTTTTTAACTTCCAAGGAGAAACTGAGAGCTAAATTTCAAAAGCTCATGATTCCACAGAGAAGAAATCTGTCATTGAACTAAATGTGGGTAATAAAGTTTATGAGTATAGACTGAGAGATCAGCAGATGGCTTAATGGTTATGTTGTTGTACTCCTATATAGCCAACCATGGTTCAAGTCCCAGACCCAGTGGCCTGAAACCCATGCCAGGGGTTTATGCATGCGTGCCCAAGACCCTGAGAGGAGAGTGGAGGAGAAGGGATTGCAGCATCCCCATCCACTCTGGGGGTTGATTTCTTGCTTTCTTCTCTCTGTATCTGTTTCTCTGGTGAGGGCATGCTCCCTATAGTAAAAATCTCTTAAAAAAAGAATATAGACTGAAAAATTTTATATGGAATGCATTTCATGTAATAATTAAATTATAATATGCATCTGGGGCAATTTTTAAAGTAGTGGGCTTTCTTTGCTTAACTGAAAGATGTTCCACAACAATTAAAGAAGACAGACACAATCTCTGCTTCCTTGACATGTGTATTTCAGAGTCTATTGCATTCAGACCTAGAACCTAAACTTAGGAGATGTTTTCATGAAAAATTTAGATGATTGAATTATCAGGACAGGATAACACTGCAAAAACATTCCCCCCTACACACAATAGAACACTCAAAGAAAAAGTAGTTTTTGATACACTTGTTTCATTTATTTATTCAATAAATTAGCCTACCCCATTCCCTGCTTTGTGGAACAGAGGTACACATTGAAAATAGGCACATATTTTTACATATTTTTAACAAAAAGAAATATAACTGCACTAGAAGATAGAAAGTGATAAGCATCATGCGGGAGACCCAGATAAAGAATTCTGTATATTTTTGTTTTTTTGGTTTTTTTTTTTTTTTTTTTTTTTTTTTTTTTTGGGCTTTTGGCCCCCACCACTCACCAGGAAGACAGAGAGAGACAGAGAGACAGAAAGTGAGAAATAACCCCCCAGGGAGGACGGCCACGCTGCAATCCCTTCTTCTCCACTCTCCTCTCGGGATCTTGGGCATGCACAAATATGCACCCGGCATGAGTTTAAGCCACCGGGTCCGGGACTTGAACTGCAGTCGACTACATGGGAGTCCAGCAACATAGCATTACGCTAACTACTGGTCCCAAGAATTCTGTATATTCATAGGAGGCTGAGATTACTCCAGTCTTGGGGATGAGGCTGGGGAGGAGAGTGAAAAAAAAAGTAGAGATAATGGAAAAATCAGTGGAATTTGACCTGTACCTGCAAGGATGAATTTGATATTCTCCATTAGTATGTTCATCATCCCCTGCAGGGACCATGCTTAGACATTTTTCTCTTCTGCTAAATAAATTACGTATATGAGCAAATCTTTTTTTCTATTCTTTTGATATTATTTATTTAATATACAGGAATTTAACTGTAAGTTTATTAAGCAGGACTCAATTCTTCCCTTCTTCAATCACCTACCCCCTTTCCTCTTCACACACACACACACACACACACACAGAGAGAGAGAGAGAGAGAGAGAGAGAGAGAGATACAGCCATTCACACTGATCTCTTGCTCTTTTTTCTTCTTACTTACACTGAAATTGTCATGGGGATGGGGGTATTTGATTTGAAAAATAGATGCTCACAGTGGAGCTACTTTTTTTTTCTTCATATTTTCCAGAGAGAGGACAAGAGAGAAAAAGCACCACCCGATTAATTAGGTGTGGTCATGCACAATCCCTTCTCTTCCATTTCCCTGTCTTATTGGGATTTATAGAGCACACGTGCATATGCGCCTGACGTGCTTTCTGAGCCCCTGTGCTGCAACTCAACTGCACGGTCAGCCATGTGGGATCTGACCCCAAATGCACAGCACTTAATTGCTAGGCTACCAGTCTGGGCTACTTCTTAATATTGTCTTGTAGCACCCAGTTAAACTATTATTCCCTGAATTGAGGAAGGAGTTCTTGAAATTTAGAGGTGTAAAACTAAGGAGAACCAGAGTAATTCTTTCATTGATCAGTTTTCTGAAGCCTTGGCCTAGGCTGGTTACTAGATTTATTATTGAAATCTGACTTGAAAGAATAAAAAACAAAAGAAAACAGAAAATGCTCTGTATAATCCTTAATGGTCCCAGTAAAAATCATTCTGCCATATCAAATCCAGCAAGACAAGCAAGCACCTATGGGCTGAAAAGATTTATTATGAGCCTACAGAAATTGTTTTAAATTCTCATATGTTACGTATTAACGAATACATTTAGATAATTAGTAGTATAGTCATAATTTTTAGTAATTTTATGTACATTTGAAGTATTCATTTCAAAAACCCATAGTTCAGATAGTTTTTTTAAACACTTTTTGATCACTTAACATTTATAGAGCAAATACCTAAGCATATATGTTGTATTTTTTAAGACACACAGGAATTTAAAATGAAAAATCATGCCAAGAAATTAAAAGGCAGACACCATTGCATTATCCTAATAGTTCACATAGTGCTCTAATAAGACGTAGATACTTGAATTGTGTGCTGTTAAACAAAAGCTCATGGTTCATTTAACTTCCTGATAGTTTCATATTCAGAATGAAATCTGCCAGTAAAAACATATTGAAATTATTAAACATGCTGTATAAAATAAGATTACCTCCAGAAAAAAAAAAAAAAAAAAAAGGAAAATCTCCAAAGAAAATATTAGATTGGTTTAAACGGTGTTGAGGCGCCCCTTGCTGGCCTGCATGTGTATTACCCAATTCTGTCCACATTCCTTGACTTTTTTGGTAAATTTGTCTGACTTATTTTCACCTGGGCTGTGGATTATTTCTAGATTTTTACATTTGAATATAGTTCTCTTCCAGGTGCTGTGCCTACATGGGCAGATTGTTTTGGACAAGATGGTGTAAAGGCAATTTAATGCATTCTCCACTTTCTTCCACACTCCTTAGTTTGTCAAACATGTCCTCATTTCTCTTTGCGCCATGAACTTTTTCTCTCTCTGCCTGATCACTCGGTCCTCCCTTCGCTGCCCTTGGCTTTACTGTTTGAGTACTTGGTCTCACTTCCTGGGTTTGGTGTTTGCCGGCCTTGATGGCAGCCCTTCTGTGACACGCCTTTGCCTCTCTTTGCCTGTGATTTCCCTCATGGCTTCCAGCAGGGCCTTCAGGCTTCAGGCTGACTTCTCTCTGTACATTAGATTGTTCTCTTTCTCCACAAATTAAGTCAAGGATTTAAGATGTGTCAATTTTTTACTCTTCCACAGAGCATCAGAACACTGATTCAAATATTCTAGCGCTGCTCTAGAAAGAAAATACTGAGATTTGAAAAATGTAATGCATGTTCAAAGGTACCAAGTGAGATTAAAATGGTGTAGTTAAGGAAGCACAGAATATTTGAATATATGGAATGGATTTAGGTCTTTTTAATAGACATGTTATACTTGTAAACTGTATCTGATTTTTTAAAAATTCAATACATTGGAATAGCTTTAAAAGTGGCCCATGTGAAATGTTAGTCAGGGTAGAATAAAAGTTACCTACTCTTCTTATTCTACATTGTTTAAATTATAGTGATTGAAACTACTACAACGGCAGTATGCCCGTGCAGTCTTCTATGTGGTTTCTAAACTTGGAGTCCTCTGCCCCAAATTTCCTTCAGTCTGTCCAGCTCCATCGGAAGCTCTATGGAACAGTGGGAGTCAAAAACAAGTCAACAGTTCTCTGGTCCCTCTTGTATGTGTGGAAAGTTGACAGTCTCGGATATAAATTTGTATAAAGAAAAACATTCAGATTTAAATTTGTCCTCGATTTTGTAGCATACAAATTAATGGAAACCCTTGACATCATCAGTCTTCGATATTTAGAGTATGTTTAATCTTGTTGACTGGTCTTTAAAAGATGCTCTCCTTCAAAAGATAAGAAAGTACGTTTTTCTCAGCTCCTTTCAGAGAGCCCCTGCTGTTAGTTACTAATCTTGGAGGCTGTATTTTTAGGGACCTGAAGCTAACAAGGATCTCTTAAGCAGTCTCTAATCTTTCCAACCTTTCCAAAAGGAGTCTGTGCCCCTCTCTAAAGAGCTAACTCTTTGGCTATCCTGTCAGTGATGTGATAGAAAGCAGAGTGTTTTCACTCCATACTCAAAGAGATAGTCCTGTGTAGCTTCACTCAGTCCTTAATGTGGGCTTATGAAAGACTTTATGCCAACAAAAATATTAACCTAAACGTATTATTAACATATAAAGCAATTCTAGATTCTTTTTATTTCAAAAAAAATTATCTAAATTTGATTAAAGGATCATGAAAGTAAGTTAAAATTTAGAATGAAAACAGTGGCAGGGGGGACGAGACAGATAGCTGGAAGGTTCTAACAATGATTGGAGCCCTTCCCTGGATTCAGTTTATTATCACCAAAAAATCCAGTTTATTGGATCCACACAACCCAGTGTAATTAAACATCTAATCTCCTTTAGAGTATTCTAATCAAGCTTTCTCTGTGAAGTTGGAATTTCTTTGTTTCCGTGATCTGTACATGACTTATCTGGGCTAAATAAACTAACTTGAACAGGAATAGCTTTATGTGGCAACTTGTGCAAGGCACTTTTTTCAAGCCTTTTTTTTCTTTCTATTCTAGTGTTTCTAAGACCTCAGAGAAATTTGGAATCTATAGACCCACAGTTTACAATTCGGAGGAAAATGGAACAGATGAGAGAAGAAAAAGAACTGGTGGAACAACTCCGTGAGGTACACAAGAAATGTCACATAGCTATGGAATACTTTTTGGAACCTAAGCAGAATTCTCTATTTTTTTTTTTTTTTTCGAAAAATAGACTTTGAAGTATTGCAAACAATCCTAGTTACAAATCAAGCTAGGTTACTATGCACCAACTGATGGCCAATGGACAAGTCACTTAACTACTCTGAGTTTTTCAGTTTCTTTGTGTACTAAAATATAGTCCCAAGTTACCTTAGTGAGGTTTTGTGAAGACTATATGAGACAATGTAAGTAGAAAAAATTAATGCCTATGTATATAGGTGTGTTTTAAATAATGCATTCATTTATTCACATAATAATACTCCATTAATTTGAAAATGTTTATAAACATTCTTACTTTGCACCCCAAATTGGTCAGAGCTTTTAAAATCAATCAGTTAGTAGGCAGACCATTTGTGTTCCTACCAAGAATGAAGACTTGTGCTGGGTCGGGAACCAGCAGTTAGCGTAATGGCTATGTCACTGGACTCCCACGTAGTCGACCGGGGTTTGCGTCCTGGACCTGGTGGCTTAAAACTCATGCCAGGTGTGTGTGCATGCGTGCCCAAGATCCCGAGAGGAGAATGGAGGAGAAGGGATTGTGGCGTGACCATCCCCCCCAGGGGGTGATTTCTCGCTTTCTGTCTCTCTGTCTCTGTCTGGCGAGCGCACGTGCCCTATAGCGAAAACCTCTCCAAAAAAAAAAAAAAAAGACTTGTGCTGGGTCCAAAAGAGACTTTAAGCTTGGTGTTGGTAGAGACCATGCCTATCTTATTCTTTGTTGTATTTCTTGATTCCTGGTAGATACTCTATAGGTATATGTCTGTCCTCACAATCTTTGTATCTAATTAGAAAGAGTACATAAATATGTGGAAGGTTAAATTGCAATACAAGGGTCAGTCATTACAGAGGAAGACATTGGTATTAGTTATTAAAGGCAGCACATTATGAATTCCTACATCAGTTAGCTACCTACTAGAAGACTATTAAAAAAACTCCTTGAAGGAGGGACCGAGGAGTGGGTCAGTGGTAACTCAGCTGGACCCACAGTGGGAAGGTCTTAGGCTTGTATCACTTGGAAAGTGAATTTTCAGAGATATTTGGAAATACAGTCAGAAACTGGATTATGCCTATCAAAAAGTAATGTCTTATAATTTTATCTTAAACGTGGCTCATGCTGATCATTGATGTTTTAATTTAGCAATATAAAATTAAAAACGGAAAGAGTATCTAGATAAAATAAGTGTTTACACACAGACCAGTTTTGTAAAAGATTTATGTAATGCTATTATATGAACTAAGTTTGCAGTTACTGCAAATTATCCTTTTATAGGCTAGTATCCAGTTCAAAGGACTTTCTTTTGCAAAGCAGAAACTTTTATTTGAGGTATTATTCTTCTATTTCCACTACTAAGAAGATGGAATAGACATAGTTTTCCCTATTTCTCCCACCAAGTACATTTAAACTCCCTAGGCACTCTACTTACAACAAATGTGAGAACACTCTGAGAGGAAAAGGGAGGCCGGATGGTGGTGCAGTAGTAACGTACAATGCCCTACAAGGCTGACCCACATGGAAGGGTTCTGGATTTAAGTCCAGAGACCCTGAGTATGTGGCCTTGGCCTTCCCCATGATCTAGGGTTGGCTAAAGCTGAGGGTGGGTTGTGGCATCAATACCCTATTGGGGCTTCTTCTCTCTCTTTCTGAAGAAATAAACTTTGAGGGGAAAAAAACAGTAAAAAAAAAAAAAAAAAAAAAAAGTCAGGTTGGAAAGGGTCCTTGGACCTTGAGGAATAATATGGTGGTGAGCTTCATGGATTTTCTTTTAGCCTCTAATACCTCAGATGTGCAGCTGAAGTAGCTGGAAACCTGGGAACACTAATGGGACCCTCAATAAAAATCTTCTCTCTCTAGCCAGATGACTAAGAAAGGGGTGATCTAAGAAGACAGAAAATGTTTAGACAATGTATGTTCTACTCCAGCTAAATACTAAAGAAAAATCCTTGGTCCCACCCTCACCCATGTCAGCAAAGGACAATCGGGAGGCTAGAATTTTATTCCCAAGGAGGTGGCATTAGAGAAGGCCAAGTCAAAAGCCATAAATTTCATTTCCACCAGTTAGTAAGGTGCCTCATGTACTCTCAAAGTGTCAGTGGAGACCACTGTAGAGCTTGGATTTCCATACCATCCAGCACCTTGTCCCCGACCCCTGGCCAACTGAGACCAAGTGGGAAACCTAGACTTCTACATTCATCTAGCAGTAACAAGATGGCAGCCCTTTTCCCCTGCTGTAACAATGTAAAAAATAAGTAAATAAAAGAAAGAATTAAAAAGAAAAGCCAGCTAAGGCAGATTTAAATAGGACCCAGAATCTCATAACATATAAAAATGTCCAGGTTTCTATTACAAGTCACTTATCATACAAAGAACCAGGAAGACCTCAAACTCAGAAAAAAGACAATCCAGAAATGACAACACTGATATGGCAGAGATGTTAAATTATCTGCCAAATATTATAAAGCAGCTATGATGAAAATACTTTAACGAGCAATTACAAACATGGTTGAAGGAAAGGAAAAGAACACCTCAGCAAAGAACTAGGGAATCTCAGCAAAGATGTAGGAGATGGGCTTGTGTCATGGCCTGATGGTTAAGGTAGCTGGATCCCACATGGCTGACCATTTGGTTCAAGTCCTGTACCCAGTGATTTGAGGAACACATCAGATGCCTTTGAGGGCCCAAAATCTCTAAAGAAGAAATGGAGAAAGGATTGTGGCATGACCATTTCCCACGGGAGTTGCTTTCTCCTCTTTCTCTTTTTCTATTTCTCTCTAGCAAGTGTGTGCACCCTTAAAAAGGAAAAAAAATCTTATGAGATAAAAAGAACCAAGTGGCTCAGTGTCAGTGGCAGGCTAAGCTGCTTGAATCCCCATGGCTGACCACAGGTTCAAATCTCCAAGTCAGCCGGAGAACATGCTGGAAACACATGCACATACCCAGGATCTTGAGCTGGAGGGCTTGGGAAGGAGATTCTATGATGGGATCTTATTGAGGGTGCTTCTCTCTCATGTACACGTGTTTCCTGTCATGAATAAAAATAAATAAAACTTTTTAAAATGACAAACCAAATGGAAATTTAGAACAGAAAAATCCATTTTCCAAGTTAAAATGCCCAGTGAATGGGTTCATTGGTAAAATGGAGGTGACAAAGGAAAGAGCCTGAATGAAACTGAAAGACCAACCAGTAGAAATGATCTAATTGAATAACAGAGGAAATAGATGGAAAATAAATTAGCAGAGCCTCAGGGACTATGGGACTGTAACAAATGATTTAACATTCATGTCATGGAAACCCAGAAGGAAAGGAGAATGAGAATAGAGCTAAAGAGGTACTTAGCGAGGAGGAGGTTGTCGTGGCCATAAAAGGACAGCACCAATGATGGAAGTGGTGTATCTCTTGACTCCATCCCTGTCACTATCCTAGTTGTTTTGCAAATTGTTACCATTGGAGGAAAATGGGCAAGGGATATATGTGATCCTTCTGTGTTATTTTCTACAACTTTGTATGAATCTAGAATTTTCTCAAAATTAATAGTTTAATATTGGGGAGAAGAGGACGAAAACTGATTTCTCAACTAAGAAATGGTTTAAGGGAAAATCTCCCCTTCATCCCTCTTCTGCCCCATGCAGACGTCTTCATCATTCTGGCTTGGTGTTTACTTCTCAGTTTATTCAAAGTATGTGTTTTCATAGTCAAGGCTGAGGAAACACTGAACTCCAGAGGTGATTCCATTTATTCCTTTCATTCTGCTGATTTAAAAATTTCAGACACAACTGAACCATTTTTATATAGAGGGATTTTTCTTTTCTTTGATTCTGTGCTCATTTTTTTATTTCAATGCCTAATTTAAAAAAGCAGAGCATTTCTTTTAGCATATAACTTAAGATATCAGATACATTAACTAAGTGCTAAGTCTTTCACTGAATAGACTCTTTTTTTTTTATTATAGTTATTCATTCATTTATCTTAATTTGACTAGAAATTATAGTTATTTATTCATTTATCTTAATTTGACTAGAAAGAGATAGAGATGGGAAGAGAAATAGAGAAAGGAAGACACCAGGTCCAGGACTCGAACCACAGTCGGCCATGTGGGAGTGCCCAGCACCTTAGCCACCACACCACCTGCTGGTCCCCAGACTGCTTTTTTTTTTGAGCTAGAACTAAATTCTTATTTATATATTTATTTATTTTACATTTAATCACTGCATATCATTAGAGTATACCAAATGGATTTTCCCATTCTGAATACACTGTATATTGGTTCAATCAAAGATATTACCATACATATTATCAACAGATAATTTTCTAGTTTTGTGTTCCTCAAATGTTTTGCTTCTTTCTTTTTCCCCTTGATTCCCTCCATTTCTTCCATGAGTGAGAGACACACAGAGAGAGACAGCATGACATACAGAGAGAGACAGAGAGTCAGTATCCCTATCAGAATCTTGATGCTTCATTTCTACTGCATACTCAGGGAAATCTCTGGATACAAGTCTAGTTCTTTCCCATGTGAGTCAGCCTTACAGAGTGTTGCATTTTACCACTGCACCACTGTTTGGTCTCAGAGGGATTTTCGATACTGTTGGAAAAGGTTTAGATATTAGAGTTTTCCAGGCATTCTTATAATCACTCTCCATAATGAGTTGAGTGCCTTAGTTCATAAATGCTATAAATGTAATTTATTTTCCGTTGTCTTGGTGTGATTAATGTTGATAGCAACTGGCTTCTTTCTGATTCACTCAACAGAGCATCGAGATGAGGCTGAAGGTCAGTCTGCATGAAGACCTGGGGGCAGCACTCATGGATGGTGTCGTCCTCTGCCATCTCGTCAATCACATTCGCCCACGGTCCGTTGCAAGCATCCATGTTCCCTCACCAGCGGTTGTAAGTAACACCAGATAAAGAGAAACCACCTTTGATATAAAACAGACTTTTTGGACAGTGTTGGTGGTTAAGGATGCCAATGGGTCACTAGGACACTGCTAAAATCCTTTTTCTGAGACCCCAAACAATTAGATGAACAGAAAAGGAACAAAGGAATGGGTCTAAATGAAGCAACATTTTCACTGGAAAAAGGGAGAATATTTTAAAATAAATATATACATGACAGAAAAGTTATTTTATTTCAGAAATACACACTGCTTTTAAAAATTAATGGCTATGTTACTGGACTCCCACGTAGTCGACTATAGTTCAAGTCCCGGACCTGGTGGCTTAAACTCACACCGGGTGCGTGTTCGTGCATGCCCAAGATCCTGAGAGGAGAATGGGGGAGAAGGGATTGCAGCGTGGCCATCCCTCCTGGGGGGTGATTTCTCGCTTTCTATCTCTGTCTCTGTCTGTCTGGCGAGCGCACGCGCCCTATAGCAAAAACCTCCAAAAAAAGAAAAATAAAAAAAAAATTAATGACTGAGGTGCTAACTTTAAGGCTACTGGAATATACAGATTTATTTGTCACAAGGAGTTATATTTAAACAGTAAGAAGTCTTTCCAGAAAGCTCTTTTGCTTGGTCATTTTCCTCTAAATGTAATCTCTTTGCTTTATTTGCCATTGAGAATTTTAAGCCAACCCTGAAAAGATGTAGAATCTATAGAAAATATCATTAATCTATCAAGCCAAGACTGTCTTCTGATCATGAATTCGACAATTCCTTGATTTGTCAGTGTGCTCAAAGACAAGGTAGAGATGCTGGGTAAATAGTGGGAAAGGGGAATGTGAGTGAGACTCCATTAGTTTCCCCAGATTCTCATGGGGGAGAAGGGATTGCAGCGTGGCCATCCCTCCTGGGGGGTGATTTCTCGCTTTCTATCTCTGTCTCTGTCTGTCTGGCGAGCGCACGCGCCCTATAGCAAAAACCTCCAAAAAAAGAAAAATAAAAAAAAAATTAATGACTGAGGTGCTAACTTTAAGGCTACTGGAATATACAGATTTATTTGTCACAAGGAGTTATATTTAAACAGTAAGAAGTCTTTCCAGAAAGCTCTTTTGCTTGGTCATTTTCCTCTAAATGTAATCTCTTTGCTTTATTTGCCATTGAGAATTTTAAGCCAACCCTGAAAAGATGTAGAATCTATAGAAAATATCATTAATCTATCAAGCCAAGACTGTCTTCTGATCATGAATTCGACAATTCCTTGATTTGTCAGTGTGCTCAAAGACAAGGTAGAGATGCTGGGTAAATAGTGGGAAAGGGGAATGTGAGTGAGACTCCATTAGTTTCCCCAGATTCTCAGCTCTCCTATAGAGAAGATAAAACCTGTATCCTTAGATCCTTTAGATAACAGAGAAGGTTACGAGCCAAAAGAGAACTGCTGAGTCAGCTTTATGATGTTTAGGAGAGAGTTGAGGGATCAGGGAAAAGCCTGTCTTATCCTACACCTATCCTAAATCTCAATAACATTTAGACAACTAGGAAAGAAAAAAAAGTCTACCTACACTATCTACTGTTTATTAGGAGAGGCAAAAGAGTATAGGGACTAAGAATGTATGATTTAGATTAAAATTCCAGATTCTGTTAATACTTTTAATAGCCATATGACTTTGGACAAGTTATTTATCTCCTTTAACTTGATTCATTTCTTGCTAATAGAAAAGTAAGGATGAAATGAGCTACTATATATAGCATACATATAAATGTAAGCCATGATTTTTATTAGAGTTGATATAGAGATTTTCAAAATTTAGCATCCCTAATCTCTAGATAGAATGCTCTTAAAATATCATATTATCAGTGCATTGGGCAAGAGCTCTTGGGAAGCCCCTCTGCAATCTCCTCCTTCCCCTAGGAAGGCCTCCCTGTGGCATTAGTTGTCCTACTTTCTTTTCTCTTGGCAGCAAGAAATGTTAGCTGATGGTCCCATTTCAACTGTCCAATTTCCGTTCCATAATATTGAACATTTTGTCCTTTTAAGTGTTCGATTGCTTATTGCTTCAAAACATAGCATGGAAGAAAAAGACCGATTTGCCTTCACCTTCTTATCTGCTTCTTGCAGCCCTAACCTAAGACAGTAAATTCTGTCCTTAATCCACTTGGGAATGTTTTTGTTTTTAACAAATGAGGTTCACATTACCAGAAAGTTGTCTGAACTCTGTACCAAATTCTCATTTAATAATTCTTCCCAAATTTTGAGAGATACTATAAATTCTTCAGCCTCCAACTTGAACACACAATGATCATTTTGCAAGGCATAAGAGAAATGAATTGTGTATCCATACATCTTTGTATATCTTATTAGTTCTCTAGGGAATGCTGCAGTCTTTTGAAAACTTTGGATTTTTTTACTTTATGTCTTTTTTTAATCTTCTTCATTTTCTTTTTTTTTTTTAGGTTTTTGCCATAGGTCATAGAGTGAAACAGAGAGAGTCAAAGTAAAAAAATTATTTCACTGTAGGGATGGCCATACTGCAGTCCCTTCTCCTATAGTCTCTTTTTGAGATTTGGGGCACAAATATACACACACCCATCATGATTTTCAAGCCTCTGGGTCTTGGACTCAAATCACGGTCAGCCATGCAGGAGTCCAGCGCCTTAACCATTAAGCCATCTGCTGGGCTCTTGTCTTTTTATAAATAATAATTTTTTAAAAAGTGGGAAAAATGTTTGATTGGAGAAAAAGAGAAAATACAGGAAAGCAGAAGAAAAATAAATCATTTCTTAACCATTCGAAGATGACTGTCACTATTATGTCTTCTTTAGTACAAATATTACAAATACATAACTTATTTCTGAATTATGAGCTTCTCATATATATATATTATTTAGTACTTTTTAAATTTTATTATTAACACCTAGAAATCTCTCCATGTCATTAAAATTCTTCATAAATACCCATTTGAGTTACCATAACATTTTAACTTATATTTTATTATTATTTTCCTTTGCAGTTCATTTCTAAATGTCTGCTTATCAGAAATCCTTCATTATTTTGTGTCAATTAAAAATATATATGATATGTTAGGGCCAGCAGGTGGCTTGGTGGTTAAGACTGCCCACAGTTCAAGTCCTGGCTTGCTTTCTCATTTTCTCTCCCCCCCCCTTTCACTCTTGTTCTGTATCTCTCTGGTAAAATTTTAACAAAGAAAAAAAGTACATAAATAAAGATAAATATAATGATTCTTTAAAAAAAGAAAAAATATATATGATATGTGTTAATTAAAAATAATGATAGTAAGAAATTCTTCAGAGAGTATTAAGTTTATTTGTATTTGTGTTACAGAGGCACTGTCACCAGGGTGTTGTCATGCCACAATTTCCCTTCCCTCAGCTTTTTTGCTTGTCAAGGTCTTCAGCCACAAGCATGTGCATTTGGCATGTTTCAGGTTGACTGGGCCAAACCCAGAGGTTGGCAATGCAGTTTCCACCTCTCTAGTTCAGTATACTAAACACCTGGGCCACCTAGGCTGGGCCTCTTCACAGAGCGTCTTGAAGCCTTTTATGTTCAGGCCTAGCCACATTGTAGCCACAGAACCTGCTACCAGTCTCCAGACTTGGCACAGGAGGCTCTCTACCGAGAAGGCTGCTCTCCGCCCTACCCTCTAATCTCCTTGGCCCTGCAGTATTAGCTGCCTTTTCTCTGCTTCAGCATTTACAGGATGCCAGCCATTCTTGAACCCTAGGGCTAGGTTTCCTTCTAATTTGTTTTTTCCATTACAGCAACACTATCATGACTAAGAACTATCCTTATTATACTATAGTTTCCTTTAACTTGTTAATATAGATTGGTTATTCCTAATCTGAAAATCCAAAAGCCTCCGAAATCTGAAATTTACTGAGCACTGACCTGACTCCACAAGTGGAAAATTTCGTATCTGACCTTATGTGATAGGTAGCAGTCAAAACACTGTAGTATGGGACTGACAACATCGTACAGCAGTAATGCCCTGCTCAAAAGAAGCTGGACCACAGTTCAAGTCCCCAGTCTAGTCAGCCTGAAACACACAAGGCAAGCGTGTGAGTGCCCAAGAGTCAACAAGTTGAAGGATGTTGGAAGGGGATCACAGTAGGACCAGGCCCTGTGAGGAGTGCTCCTCTCTCTCTCATGCTCAGTCTCTTGTGCATATGCACACACCTTATCATAAGTGATGGAACCCAAAGGCACTGCAATACAAAAATACCGTATAAAATTACCCTCAGGCTATGTGTATAAGGTTTATATGAAGCAAATGAATTTTATGTAACACATGGGCCCCATCCTCAAAATATCTCATTAGGCATATGAAGGTATTACAAATTTGGAACCCTTCTAGTCCCAAGCATTTCAGATAAGGGCTACTCAACCCATATCTCCAACTACACTAGAGTTAAGTGACCATGAGGACCGTGTATTTTAGTTCCATAGTGGTATCTTTAGCACCAAGTACAGTATGTGATATATGGTAAACAATAAATATGACTCAGTCTTTGGAAAGTTATGAACAGCACATACTACTAGAAAATAATGCATGGATTTTGACAATTTTTTGCACCAAAATAAATTTTTTTCTACAAGCTTTTTTGAAATCTCCCCATGTCTGCACCCTTAGCCTTTTCTACCACTATTAACACTGCCATTAATTTTTTGTTCTAATTTTTCACTCAGGAAACTAATCTTGCTCATTATTTATGCCAAACTGAGAATGAACAGGATGGTGAACAGAATCACAGATAATATCCATATGCTAAGAAACTGACTGTTCTGGGGCCAGCAGATGGCGTAATGGTTACATCACTGTTCTCCCACGTAGTGAAATCGCAGTGCAAATCCAGACCTGGTGGCTTAACACTTACGCCAGGCAGGTGTGCATGTGTGCTCACCCAAAATCCTGAGAGGAGAACAGAGGAGAAGGGGTTGCAGCATGACCGTCCCCCGGGGGATGGGGGGTGATTTCTTGCTTTCTATATTTCTCTCTCCAGTGAGCGCACATGCCCTATAGCAGAAAAATCTCTCTCAAAAAGTGAAAAAAAAAAAAAAAAAACACTGACTATTCCTTAGGAAAAAATGAAATTCTTCAGTCTTTGACAGTTTGGTTAGCAAAACATTGACATCCCAATTGGTCTTTGCCCAATGGCAAGATTGAAACTTTAACCATTATATTTGTCACAGATACTTTTCTACCTGAAGTCAAACACTAGTCTTAGAAAAGGTCTTAACCTCTAATGATGAGAAATTATTTTTATGTAGCTTGAAACACATTTTCTATTGACGTCCTCTGGGCTGACCTAAGTTTCTTGAATGATATTGGGCATCTTCGGCATTTCAGAAAAGACCCTCATACAAAGTAGATAGAAGAGGATGGTAGGACAGTGAGTCAGAGTCAGTTGCCCAGATCTCAGGGCTTTTTGGTGCCCATCTGCCACGTCATGTTCCTCATGTCTATTCCTTCAGTTTGCATGAGGCTCAACACACTGGTCTTGGCCTAAGACATCCCGGAGATGTGGCAAAACCACCCAGGTGTTACGGCTTCCTGCCACATTTCCATAAGGCCCATGTTGAAGGGTACCACTTACTGTCTTTTCAAGATGCATAATATTTCTTTAGCCTTTAAACCAGATTGTTTTACATAGGAACAGGCTTTATTTCTTTTGGGGGCATGAGATAGAGTTGGGGAGTGAGTCTTCTTATAATTCTTCTTTTAAGAAATGCTTTGGAAGTTTAGATTTTAATGATGGATGGTTTTGACCCTATTAAAAAGCAGTAAGAGTCACTTCAATCTCACTTTGTCACTTCACTTTCACTATTAACACAATATGGCCACTCATTATAAACATGCCCCCTATGCCTAGGCAGTTGGAATCAGTTGTGCTTCTTCCTTTCCTTTCTGAAGAAGCTAATAGTGCAATATTAGAATGTATCAGGAGGCCCTGCCTGGTGACACAGTGGTAGCATGCTGGACTGCAGTGCTGGAAGCCACATGGCCCACCTCAGGTTTGCATCTCAGGGCTTGCATTGCAGGGTGCACCTGAAAAGGCTCCAGGCATGTGTGTGGGTACCCAAGGTCCTAGGAAGCTAGAGGGCTGGGGAAAGGGGATCACTGCGTGGTGAAACCTTGTCAAGGGTGCTTCTTCTTTTTGACTTTCTTTCTTTCTTTCAAACATATACTGCACACATACATGTGTGTACTCTTTGTCATTAAGAGAAAAAAAAAACAGCAAGAAAGTATTCAAAACTTACCATATAAAAATTATAATGTATAAACCAAATGTACCCATTACCCATCCCGTATCTTAGAGATCATCCATAATTAAGGTCAACTCACTTATGAGTCACTTTTTTTTTTTTTGAGAGGTTTTTGCTATAGGGAGTGTGCACTTGCCAGAAAGACAGAGAGAGACAGAGAGACAGAAAGAAAATGAGAAATCACCCCCCAGAGGAGATGAACACGCATGCAGACGTGCCCGGCATGAGTTTAAGCCACTGGGTCCAGGACTCAAACTGCGGTCAGCTACATGGGAGTCCAGCAACATAGCCATTACGCCAAATGCTGGGCCCCATGGCCACACCGCAATCCCTTCTCCTCCATTCTCCTCTTGGGATCTTGGGCACGCATGCACACGCGCCCAGCATGAGTTTAAGCCACCGGGTCTGGGACTCCAACTGTGGTCGGCTACATGGGAGTCCAACAACATGGCCATTATGCTAACTGCTGGTCCCCCCATGAGTCACTTTTGTTTTAAGTCCTGAACAGCTACCACTTTGGGTGCTGTTTACCTTGATATTACCTCTTTCTAATTAAATCTGTAGCTTTGGTGAGAAGATTAGTCTGGTGAATTTAAATTCTTCCTATAGAAATATATTTATTGATGGGGAAAGATGAGGTTTGTGGTATATTTTTAGGCAAACCAAAGCTGGTTATGCAACAGTATGATTTCATAAAAACTAGGTTAAAGCCAGTCCAGGTGTAGTGATTAAGCTGGTTAAATCCCACAGATTGTAGCTGACTGTACAGTTTGAGTTCCAGACTTGGCAGCTTGAAAAACATGCCAGGCATATGTGTATGTGTACCCAAAATCCCAAAAGGAGGGAGAAAGAGGAGAAGAGATTGCAGTGTGACCATTCCCCATGGTGGGGGGAGGGGGTGCTTTCTCACTTTCCTTCCATCTTTTAGTTTCTCTCTGTCTCTCTGTCTCTGGTGAGCATATGCACCTTCTTGCAATTGTTTTCTTAAATAAGGTGTGTGTGTGTGTGTGTGTGTGTGTGTATATACACATATGTATGCAGAAAGTTTTGCATACATATAATTCAGTGTATTTGTATCATATACATATGTGTATGTATATAAATATATATGTATATGTGTGTGTGTGTATACACACACACACAAATACACGCAATACCTGGAAGAATACAGCCAGAATATTAAGTTTTCATTTTTAGGTTGATGTTTCTCTGTAATCTTTTGTTTCCTTGTATTTGCCTATGTATTTTTTTTTTGTCAATAGACATGTATTACTTGTGTTATTACAAGTCTAAAATTTAGAAAATATAAAATTTACCCAGTTATTAAAATGGCTTTTCTTTTAACAATACATTATTTCTGTGCATTTGCATTTATAGCCCAAACTTAGCATGGCGAAGTGCAGAAGAAATGTGGAAAACTTTTTGGAAGCATGCCGAAAATTAGGAGTACCAGAGGTAACATCAACCTTAGTTCAAATAATCATGTTTCAGTAAAAAAATTATTTAATACATTTGTTTGAACCATTTAATAGATGTAAAACTTTGTGCATACTTTTTTTTGTTACTCATCTTCCTTAAGGAATAATATTGAATAAACATGTAAAACTTTTGATTTATTGCACTGGATTTAAAATGGCTTTACACAGTGTGTTCACTTCTGAAGTAAAATGGAAAATAATTTTCCTTAAGATTTTGAAATACATATGAAATTTTTTGCTTACAATTAATTAGCTTGATTCTATTTTTTTTTTTTAACAGAGGTTTTTGCTATACGGTGTGTGCGCTCTCCAGAAAGACAGAGAGAGACAGAAAGCAAGAAATCACCCCCCAGGGGGGATTCTTTAAGAGCAGAAAGTGCTGATGCTACAATTGTGCCTTCTGTCAGAGAGTAGGATTTTGAAGCTAATGATTTCCTTGATCAAACAAAGACCTATCATTGTCTACCAACTGATGGTTTTCATTCCCTGTGGTTGCATTTTGGACATGTGGCTCTAAGTAATCAACATTGAAAATATTGTTGTTATTATTATCATTAATCATGATTATTAATAACAATGTTTGTATGTTGCTTTATAGTTGTTAACTCTGTGCATTGGCATTTTCTTCTTCAGTCTGCTCTAGGCCAGATTGTTACTCTGTAGCCATCCCAGCACTTAGTTTGCTAATTTTCCCCTCTCCTGAGTTCAACCCCAGCCTCACCCTCAGCCTCAAGCAGGTGGTTGATCTGAGGCTTTTAAATAATTTGGTGCTAGTAACATAAAATAATTTTTTAGAGAGCCGTGATACAGTCCCCTCAGAACCTAGCTGTATAAATTGAGAAGTTTATCATCATTACAATTGAAATGTATGATTCCTGTTTCCTTTTCTAATGCCCTAAAGATAAAATAATAATAACAAAAAATATTCTATCATGAGATACTGTTTGTGAGGACATGAAAGAATTACATTTCAGTACCACTGTACTCAGTGATAGGAGTTAGTTATTAAAATTGACAGAAGGATTTTTTCCTCCTCTCCTTTTCTTCTTTCTCACCACCTTTTTATTTTTCTTTCTTCCTTCCCCACACCACGTTTTTTAGGTTGATGAGGCTCATGTGGGGGGTTAGAGATAGCCTTCTAATCTTCTTTGAGGGAAAGGAGAGCTTTATTAAAGCATCTTTATGTCAGAGCTGCATAATGAAAATAAGCTTATACTTTTTTTAAAAGAGTGTAATTTTTATATAATGGACTAAATGTTTTTCTGATCAGTTCTTTCATCAGCAATGTTAACCTGTGTGTCTGTATTGTATGTATACATCTTAATATTATGTGTATGTTCTTGGCTTTGAATATATGTGAAATCACATACATACCTTTCTAATCATTTGACTCTGTCATGGGCTAGTAAGACCCCATGTGTGAACCAAAACTCTCTTACCAAGTTCCAGATGATAAATTATTCATGTCTGTGCTGGAAAATCCTGATGAGTTAAAATCTAATCCCCTATGATTATTTTAAATTAATAGATGTGTTTTTAGCTTACAGCGATACAAAATGAACTGCCCTTAGCCATTTATTGTGAGTAAAGGTCCATAATCACGATTTCCTTTAAGCAGGGAAAAGGAAATGAAATTACCATGAAAATGTAGAGCAAAATTTATCAAAATGTCTGATTTATGCTCCTAATTTAGTGTCTCTAGCACTAGTAGACAACTCCTAAGTCCCAAGAAAGTTGAAATATAGTAAATGAGTAATAGTAAATGAGTAACTTTCTTGGCGAATGTCCCAGTTAACTACTGAGAAAGAGCTCACTCAGGATAGTTTGAAATTATTTTGAAAGTTTGAGGTTTTTGAGTTTGTATTGTATGTGAGTGTGTGTACATATGTGCTTTCGCTGATGGATAATCGAGTAGAATTTTATTGATGACCAGAAGTTGTGTTAAATTCATTGATTCAGAAAAAAGAAAAGTCTATTAGCAGTTGAACTTCTTTATTGAGAATGTTAAAGTAAGGAAAGAATATTATAGTGGAATATCAGAAGTTCTCAATTGGAAAGAATTGTCAGATCTTTTCTATTTATTCAAAACAGCATGTTTTTATTTTACAGTATGCATGGGAAAATGTTTTCTTCTAAGAATATGACACTGGATCAGTCTGTGGCATGGTAATTAAGGCTCTGCATCCCACATGGCCAACTGTGTGGTTTGAGTCCCAAACCCAGCAGCTTGAGAAACACACACCAAGTACTTGTGTGTGAATGCCCAAAATTTCAAGAGGAGAATGAAGGAGAAGGGATTGCATTGTGGCCGTCACCCCCTGGGGGGTGATTTTTCACTTTCCCTGTCTTTGTCTCTCTCTCTGACAAGCACATAGCAAAAATTTTTTAAAAAAAGAATGTACAACACTAAGTTGGAGGGTCAGGTGACATCTTCCCCCTTAGATATTTATAGTTCTTTCACTACTGAAGAAGGTTAATGTTTGAATATATATGGGGTCACTACTGAAGAGGGTTAATGTTTGAATATATATGGAGCAAAATACATAGATGATTTAAAATTAAAAAGATAATTATAGCATAAGACTACTTGCAGAAATTTTTCATCTAAAATTTAGCCATTTTAAAAGAATGATGTAAAAACAAGTGGATTTGTACCTTTTCTTACTGCATCAAAAGTAGTATTTAGGACTTGTACATTACCTTTTCTTACTGCATCAAAAGTAGTATTTAGATAACAAAATATTCATTGACTTCCCAGTCCTCAATATAGTTAATTTTCTCTGATTTGCTAGCTTTTTCTACTTTCTTCTCCATCTATAACTTACTTACATGCACATACAAACCACAGAGATCTTGAGTTCTGTTTTTTATAAGCTAAATGTTGAATTTACAGATAAATCACCTTGTGGAAATGGAAAAAGCCATGGCTGTGCTCTCTGCCTAAGCTTATGGTCCTTTGTAATAGAATCAGCTTTGAGTTTATCATTTTATCATGTTTGTAGAAATGGAATATTAGTAGCTGAAGAAATTTTGTAAAATTTACTACATGTAATACGACAGAATGGAAGCAATTTTAAAATTGTTCTGATCATTACAGTTCATTATATTTTCTTTAGAACTCCCTGTGAATACAATCCCAAGTATTTGCTCCAGGGCGAGTTTAAGGCTCATAAATCATTTATGTGTGCTTCAACAGCTAGAACCACTGTTCATTGATTGAATATCCAGGAAATATCTCAAGCAGGATGAGGCAGCACAGTACCTAAATTCACTGAGAAAATAGTATGGATTAGTGGCTGAGACTGTCCCTCCGTGGCAGTTTTTAAAACTTCTTCCATAAGAGAGGTTGAGACAGAATGACAGCCATCCCCAACAGAATCTGCACACTGAAGTTCATCCCCAGCCTGAGCTGGCCCAGAAGGCAGGCACATATATGTGTTCCAGTGTGCATTAGGGAATCTCAGGACATGAGCAGAGGACCTCCCCAGTGGATCCAGTTGAGTTACTGCTGTCACACATCTGGCCCCCCTTGGTGGTGTTCTAAGCCCAGTTTTTACATTAGGCTAGAAAAGAGTGGTTCTGGTATGACTTAATCTAGAAACATGTCGTCTTTGAATTGACTGCATTCAGAATTGTGACAGTGTAGGACTCTGTCCGGTTTCTTTGTGGTGTTGATACTGTGTGGTCAGATCATGCCCCTGACTGTGACCTCCCATGCAAGTGTCAACTTGGTCTTGAAGGCAGACCTTGGTGGGCTTCCAAGTTCTTCAAGGTATGTTCTTTGAATCACCTAAGAATAGAACTCCAGTTAGGTTTGGGGCTCACAAGTCTATTTATAGGCATGCTGAGGCTTCCTTTGTTTCTTCTGAGTGTACCTGGTTGGTCCCGGCTTCTTATATGCATATCATAGATTCATGTTTGGCTGCTGGGGTTTCTAAGTTGTTTCAAATGTAAAGCTATTTTAGGACTTTTATTAGTATTTTTCTCACATTGAGAAAAGTCTCTGGTTTATTAAGTATCAGAGATATCAGAAAATAGGTATGTATTTGATGTCCAAGGGGGATGTTTCTGCTTAATTTTAAATAGGTAGCCTTAGTTTCAGAACTCTTTACAGAATAAGGCCCTCAATGTAACAGACTTGCCCTCTTTAGCTAGGGCGTGAACTTAGAATAGAAATATACTTTGTCTTCTAGCTGCCCAGGCTTCCATTTTGATTCCTGTCTCCAGAGAGAAAATAGAAGAGTTAAGAGCAGTGACCCAGTTGACAGTAGCAGATACCTTGGCAGTTAATGGCCCTTTCTTTCTGTCTGGGAAGCCCAAGGGTCTTTTCAGAACTAAAGGAAGTGGGAAAATTTCCCCATATCCAAGAAAGGTCACTTTATGTTTCTCAGCTTTTATATCAGCCAAATGTTAAAATTCTAATATATGCAAAGTCTTCACTAAGTTAGTGGAAAATGCATATTCAGAAAAAAAATGAACTATACATGGCTTTCAAGGGTTTTGTTTTGTTTTTTGGTTTTTGCCTTAGGGCAAATGCATTCACCAGAGAGACACAGAGAGAGACGGTGAGAGGGGAACTAAGAAATCACCCCTAGAGGGGATGGCCATGCTGCAGTCCTTTCTTCTCCACTCTTCTCCCAAAATGTTGGGCCTGCATGCACATGCATCTGTCTTGACTTTTGAGCTGCCAGGTGCAGGACTTGAACCATGCCATGTAGAGTCTGTAAAGAGCAAGGCCCTCATTTTAACAGACTTGCCCTCTTTAGCTAGGGCATGAACTTAGAATAGAAAAGTACTTTGTCTTCAGCCATGTGGAAGTTCAGTGCCTTAACCGGTATGCCACCTGCTGGCTCCTGGCTTTTGAATGTTTTTGCACCAAACTAAACTCATACTTTAATTCCATATTTTGATGAGCTTTTTTATTTCCCCTCACATATTTAAATGCTAATAGTGGTTGTTATTATAAGTGGATTTACA